CAAAACGTTATGAATGGAAAAGTCGAGGTGAGACGGTGTTGGCCTCTCCTCTCCTCTCCTCTCCTCTCCACTCCTCTCCTCTCCTCACCACTCCTCTCTGCGCCGCACCGCTCGTCACGTCACGTCTCATCATGCGTGTATCCGGGGTGTGGGAGAGGAGACGAGGTGGAGCAGTGGAGCAGCGAGCTCGTCATAATGCCCGCGCCAAGGTCGCGGCGTAGCGCACGCCAGTGGGGGCCTTAAAAAACAACAAACGTGCCACGGATACGTCACCTCCTTAGCATCACCGCACGCGCGCGAGCTTCGCCGGGGCACTCGACACTTTCGGTCGTCTGGTCTAAACGGACGAGGACATTGACGCTGCGCATTACTGCGCAATTGTCCATTATCGTGTCCATTTAATCGATTCGCGTGTCGCGTTCGCGCCTCGTTAAAAATATACCAGCCAAGCGCCGCGAGGAATTCGAAGAATGAAGGGCGGCTACGGCGACGGCGGTGGCGACGGCGGTGGCGACGGCAGCAGGAAGCGAACGAGCGGTTTTAAAGAAGGCGCGCGCCTATCTTTTCCTCAGGACCATTATACATTGTAGGGGAGCAAAGTGGAACCTCGGCTATTTAATTCGAGCGTAAAAGCCAGACGCTGTGTCCCCGATCTCCGAGCTATCGAGGCTACGTTTCCTTGGAGTCGCGCTCGTCAATGGATCAATGTAGAGCACGAGTCATCCATTCTCGTAGTATTAGCCTCTCGCTCGCTCGTTCACTCGCGAGCCAAGCCGCCGAGAAAGTAGGGAGACAGAGAAGAGGAGAGGAGAAAATGAAAAAAATGCAGCACGCGCGCCCGCGCGCGCTCACACACGCACACAAGCTGGCCCGCGTATAGCGAAATAATGGAGTGGTGAGCGGGAAGGTCGGAACGATCGATGGTGGGTTACACGGGCACGGGTATGGGCCGCGAGGCTTACGCACGCACACGTGCGAAAAGCGTGCAAGTCACATGGAGTGCCAATGGGGAAAGTCGCGGGACGTAAAATTAGCCCGTGATGCGCATACTTCTCAATTTTTCATCGCGGTCGCTCATTTAGCCCGGAAAAACTCACCGGATCTTCCTTTTCTAGTGCCTTTGCCAGGCATGTTGACGCTGTTCCTCCCGCGCTATTCCTTCTCCTCCTCCTCTCTAGGCCGTTGTTTTCGCTCGAGCGGAATGTATGGGCCGACGGGGACGACGACAACAACGACGACGACGACGATCACGACGACGACGTCTCGTGTTCGCTCCCACCCCTACTTTTATTGCACAATAGAGGAACCACCAAACTTTCTCGATCAAGAGGGTAAATGTCTTGTAGTGTTAATTTTCCTTCGTATACTGAATGCACTGCATGGATTATCAATGTGAACTTGGAGAAAACTCATTAACATGTTGCGGACGCGAGAAGCAATAATCCCTAACGCATACACACCGTCGAGACAGCCAACGATGGGCTTCCTCAAGTGCACTGGCGGCGCTCGATTAACGCGGATATCTCCTGCTCCGTCTCGCCCCACCACCGACCCACGATGCGGGCACCGGCGGGGGGAGATGATTGGAGGGGCGCATGCGCGACACCTCTTAACGACGGCCATCTTCGAGAGCGCGACTTTTATTCGCAATTGATTATACCGATCGAAGATGAGCCGTGGCCACGGCTCGAGGGTCGATCGTATCGCGTTGCGCCCTATCCTCGACGACCGACAACCTGACCGCTGCCATATGGGCCGCTCGCCGGTCTATGTGCTCAAGTACTGCTTAGTTTATCCAAGATTAGCCGTGTAAGACGGACTTTGGTGGCGGATGGGTCGTGAGGGCGGGAGTGTGAGGGGGTGGGCGGTAGGAGGTGGAGGGGCGGAGGGGAGTGTAGAGTTGGCGGAGAAAAAGTACCGTACCCCCAGTGCACCACTTTATGTTGTTCGAATAATAATAATAGCGTCGATTAACACATCGATGCATTATTCGACGGTTTAATAAATATTTCTTAATTTTGGAATTTCAAAGTCTTGAGCGCTTTACTTAGGATATTTAATAAGATACGGAAACATTGCTTCCAATATTATATATCAATTAATTAGTCATTGATGTAAATCGATATACACAGCGGTTTTATTATTAATTCATTAAAATCTTCCGTCCATCGAATAATTTCTTTTCCTATTCTAATCTAGACAGACCAACACACGCGCATCCACATGAGCATACCTATATGCATCTGCATATAAATAGAGATGCGAAACCTTCGGATATTAGGCATTAATTATATAATTAGCTTATAAAATAACAGATCTCTTTTTGTTTCAATGAATTAAATAATGATATTCATCGTGTCAATGTTCAATAAGCAGTTTTATAATAATTCAATCGAACTAGGAATGAAAGTATCGGAGTCTCTATGACATAACTTTGTACAAACAAGCTAAAATATCGCGTAACAAAGATGAACAATAATGGCAATTATTTGGTGTATACAATTAATATGAAATTTTAACTAATTTGAGAGAAATTACGCTCGTTACGTACGTATGGGCACATATTTCTATGCAGTAAGAGTCATGTAAATATTAGTGACGTAATATTCTGCATTTGAAGCAATAATTATTATTAATACGATATATTGGCTAAGTTTTTTTTTTTTTTTTTTTTTTTTTTTTTTTTTTATTTTATAACTTAGGCACAAAATTCAATTCGATATTAATAGTGAAAACTGAAAAATTTGACAATTATATTTAGAAAATTTCAATGATATTTAAAAGGATTTCTAGGATCTACATAATATAATTGCGTTATTATGTACGTAAAAGTCTTAAAATAATCGCCTATTCGTAATTAGAGCTTAAAAAATGAAAAATGTGCTTCCGAGTACGGCTTTAAAGCTTTACCTGGGAAGGATTTATAATATGTTTATTGGTTGGCAAGTTCCATGTACGAGTGCGTCACTCATTTCTGGAATAATTCGACAACACTTTCTTAATACTTAATTGTCCGGGATAATACCGTTCGTTTGACTAATTGTATCGTCTGGCCGTACGAATAACTTCTACGAATACAAATGCCACCATAAGAATTTATCTCTAAATAAATTTTTATATATAACATCGACTTCACATCTTACTTTACATATTATTAATTTTCTATTGCAAAATTCTAATGTTTTGGCAAATATTAAAAGGCTCTTACTGGATAAATGAATAGTTATTTAAATTGCTTGCTGCAGATTTATGCTTATATTAATGGCTTTCGTGCCAAAAATTATTATATTATTGTATGCACTATTATAATTACACCTGGTAAGATAAATAATTTTATTGTCTATCACATACGTACGATGTATAAAAATGTTGGATATGTTAATAATTAATGGCTTTCATGAATACCGCATTTACGATTTAATCAATATAATCAGTTTGTTATAAAAATTACCGAATTAAAATTAATAATTAATTCCATTAATAATGATAATGGTAAAAATGGAAAAAAAAATAATAAAGATCAATGGCAATCAATTAGATTTGTAATATTTTTGTGTTTTCATATCAATAAAAATTTCATAACAACTAAATTTCTGTTTTTCCTATTTACTTCAAATTCTCATGCATCGATAATCACACAATGTAGAAGCAAATGTAAAAATGCATTCCCACATTAAATCTCTAAATTTTTACACTTTGTATAACAGTTAAAATAATGCACATTAACGGGAATTATAGAAATTACAGTCTTTCAAATGAATTTACTCCACACGATATTATAAGATTTTAAATTACCTAATGCCATTTAATTGCCTCTGTATTATTTATATTGTTATTCCTAGCAATCGATAAACTTGTGGCATTTAAATTTTTTTGTCAGTTAGAAAAGTTAATAACTTCACTAGAGCTTTTATTTTACCAACCGTTCACTACTACATTCGGCTTAGTGATTTTTCATTGCTCTTATAACTTTACTGTTCTGGCTGCTTATCTCATGATTCCGATGCACAATGTAAGTTTCCCATAGTTTTGTTGGCCTATTAAATTCGGATTAATAAATATTGTAAAAGTAAAGGTTGACGGCGGATCGTCGCTACATATAATTTGGGGATAGTCCTCTATCCACGATTACAACGTTATTATTCAATTATTGTTTCCGTAATGGCGTCAAGTGGTGGTATGTATATGCTTTTTTAATTCAACGAAACATTTCACACCAAATTGCCGAGTATCACATTTTAATTTGATGTTTAATTTTTTTGTTTTTACAGAAAATCCAATAGATGATATAAGCGAATCAATTTCGTGCACAACTATCACTAATGTTTTGCCGGATGCCACACAAGTGAGATAACCTATAAAGTATTCGGAGTTAAAATCATTGATCTTTAAAAAATTTAATCAATTTGTATTATAAAAAAAATTACAGAAATCAATTATAATAGACAAGGAAGTTGATATGACAAGTGCACCAACAAAAAAATCGCGCGTTGAAATTCAGTCGTTGCCAGCTAGGCAATATTTGGACCAAACTGTTGTACCAATTTTACTACAAGCGCTCTCCAGTTTAGCTAAGGAAAGGCCACCGGATCCAATAAGTTATTTAGCCTCTTATCTTTTGCGAAATAAAAATCAATATGATACCAGTGGATCGCCATCTACTGCTCAATAACATTCAATATAGTATATTACTTTGTGAAGAAGCGTACGATAGTGCTGTACTGTACAAGATTTAATTGTGGTCAGTGACAATGAGTAATATGATTAATAAAGAACTCATGATTTTATTAGCTCTTGCTAATTAGGAATCATTATATTTTTCTGATTCTCTGGTATACATTCATCCGTTTTACTAATTTTTATTTAACAACAAATTGTAATATATAATGACTATAATTGGTTAAAATTTTGATATAATACTATTAATCAAAATTGACTTATACTTCTTTTTACAATAGTAAGAATAGCTTCTCTTAGAGTATTTAAATAAAATATATATTTAATATGTGGAGGTAATATTAAATTTATCACTTATAAAAGCTTGGGTTTGTCAACATATTGTTTGCCATGGTGAATAATTGTTGCAAAAGTGCCAGCCACCATCGCTCCCCAGAAAAGCATGTATAACAAAATTTCTGTGGTATATCTCGATGGCAAGATCATATGAGCAATCAACATTGCCCATGCTACAATGAGTACCAATGGAAATGTTGCGTAGCGCCAATTTTTTTCAGACTCCAATGGACACGAAACTGTCAAACACTCGCCATCTTGTACTATATATCGTCCCAAAAATAAATTTATAGAATCCTAAAATTGTTTTAAAATAATTGAGATTAAAGGATGATTCTTAAAATAATGTATATTATTATTTATGTTTTTACTTACATTTCGAAAACCATCGGCAAAATTATTTTTATAATACCTCATTAAAGAATTTATACCATCTTTCAAAGCTCCAATCTTTGTACGCTTTCCTAATCTTGTAAAGTCTGTTTTTAATGCACTTGTTCCAGAATATTGAGTACTTATTATATCAGCGTTATCAGCCCACACCTACAAATAAAACAATTTAAAGAGAAAAATTATTATTTAAATACTTTATTTTCAAACATATTTTTCTTTCTCAAAAATACCTGCTTAAATAAAAATTCGAGAGAAGGATGCTCGTCTATGTTTCGTAAAATTTCTAATTTAGATAGAGCATCTGAAAGTACTCTTTTGGCTAACATACTTTGTACTACATTCGTCCTATCTAAACAGTCAATGCAATTTGTTCTAAAAATTCCATCTTGAACAGACATTAATACTCCGTCTCTTGTTAGTAAAAAGTATGCCATTTGTTCTCGATCGTGGGTGAGACGAGCCATTAGAATATCTAATCGATCCCATTGCATTTTGCGACATTCAGCATGAAAATCAAAAGCTTCGTATCTTATGTTTTGGTTATGCATGTCCTGCACTGTATCTCGATAACATTTCTCTAGTATTGCTTCTGTTCCTGTCTGATCGATCTATTAGGTATATCCATAATTAATAATTTCTTATTGCATATGTACATATACATATATATATATATATATATATATATATATATATCCCAACATTAAATGACAATATTTAATAAAGCTTAATTATTACCAAATTCACTAAAATTTGCTTGCCATAATGGAATATTTGATTTTCAAAATGTCTAGCGGAAGCTATTAAATGATTTTCATTAGGAATTAATTGCGGTTTTGGCTTAAACTTCAAGTTTGGAGCTTGCTGCCAAAATAATGGAATAGATCCGCGAATTTGAACAAATGAACTTCTACTCCCATTGGCTTCTATTATTTGTTCAGTTTCAACAAAATTTGAAACATTTCCATTACTATCTATGCCACGAGAAAATAATCTTGTTCCAGCTCGATGTATCGAGCGTCTAGAAATGATACCCCAATTAAATGGAATACCATTAACAACAATTGTGTTCAATGAAACGACTGTAGTTTTAGTATTAAGAAAAATTTACTTAAAATTATACTTGTACGCAATGATTATAACCTTATTTTAAACTGAATCCTAATGAAATTATTTTATGAAAAGTTAAAATTCCAAATCAAATGTAATTTAAATAATTTCACTATGTATATGTATTATTGGAATAGAATAATTTATTGAAAAAAATAAACGATTAATAATATTAACGTGCAAATATGTTTTAATAAATTTCTTAATATTGAGATAAAAAGGATACAACCCATTATAATTGGAAGGCAAAATTTATGATGTTCTGGTCTTGCCACAAGATCTTGAAGTAAATGCGAATTCCAAATAAACCTTGAATCTGCTCGATCATGTAAAGGCATCTGAAATATGATTTAAGCTTCTTAAATCAAGATAATTCGTTAGATGATAAATTTATTATGGCTTACTTGAACAAATTCTGGAGTTGTATTATGAAGTCTTTGCATCGTATGACTTAAGTCATACGTGTAACTAAAATAAAAGTGCTGTGTATTGAGAATAGATTTTACCATTTCTAAATAAGTAGTATTGTTACGAATTTGTTTCTCATCCAAATGTAACATGGATCTTGTATATGGGATCATATGTGTTGAAACTATTTTGAAAATATCTTGATTAGCTATAGTTCCAATTTTTTGCGCATCATCTATAACAATTAAATAAGGACATGCTAATAGTCGAATAATTCCTACAATCCCCCATATTTTACGTCTACTTGCAGTCTGTGGAATTTGACTGGGATTCGCGACTAAAAGTATTGAAATATAATTATCCAAAGAGCATATTTTATATATTTATAAATTTAGTTGTATAATTAATTACCTTGTACATGAATTTGGTGACTTGTTCGATCAATTACAAGTAAAACTTTTGTTCTAATTGGTTCGATATAAAATTTATCTGCTGTCATGTATCTAAATATTTTAAGCAATTAATTGTAATTTATGTAAATGGCATAAAAAAAATTTTACGTTCATCCAACGATTTAAAGTTTTTTTACACTTACAAATAAAGATTGTCATAAACATCGGTATTCGTAGCCATCTTCTATGCTTATACAATTTATTGTAGAAATTCAATTATTTCTTATATTTAATGAAAATTTTTGTAAATATCAATGCCTGGAACATAAATCTTACTCTCCGACACTTTTATTTATCTACAAATGCAATTTTTCAATTAATATTATACCCGTAGTCAAATGAAAAGGTTCGTGTTCAAATGTCAACTAGTTTGAAGAATCCAAAATTCATGCATTGCGAATAAAGAGGCCTAACGATTGAGTCTCTAAAATTACAAATATTAAATACGATTATGTGCAAAAATCACGATTTGCGCTATTTGAAACTGTACACATTATTCACGTATTTCTCAACTAGCACAAACTTTTTAATTATAATACATACCTACCGATTCCGATTTATCTGATTACGTTTACAATGAAATTTAATGCGTAATTGCTGAAGATATTTTTAAAATTTATATGCTACTAAAAAATTTTGTTTTCGCCTGATTCATAAATCTTTAATCATCCTTCAACTATAAACGTAGATTTAATTTTGAATTATCATTCAATTTGTTGATAACTAAACAATGAATCCCATATAATATAGAGTATTAAGACAATGTGAATATATAAACATATTATCTTAAGTATGTTTGTTGCTCACTCCATTACTCATTTTTATTAATTGAGCTTATATGTTTATTAATTATTTCATGGTTGATCGAATGCTACATTTCATCATTTAATACATAAGAGATCTACCATACCAACATTACCGATTGATAATAAGTTTTTTAATCTCAAATTACAATTGATAACTTTCAAGCTTTATTTACAAGTTTTTTTAAATAGTAATGAAAAAATAAAATAAAATAAATAAATATTTATATATATATATATATATGTTTGTGTATATCAAAAGCATATACAACTGAAACATACAATTCTGTAAAACTAAATTGAAAGAAAACTTCTCTTATTTCCTTCTGCATACGAGATTAAAACAGTCGCTCAATTTTACGTATGCGAAATCGATCGTATATATATATATATATATATATATATATATATATATATATTATTTTTTGTTGACGCAGGTGCAAATGCTATGGATGTACGTGCAAGCATGCGTAAATGTTTCATAAATTATTTTCAGTAATTATGTTCTCGATATAATTTAATATCTTCTTAATTAATAACTAAAGTAATGTAATCATTAACATTAATTCCGTATGTGTGTGTGTGTGTGTGTGTGTGTGTATATATATATATATGTGTGTGTGTGTGCGTGTGTTTGTGTGTGTGTAAATGTTAATTTGGTTTTTAGTATCAAATAAATTGTTCGTACCTTCAATATTAAATTACAATTATATCATGTGTCAGTATACAATAGCCGAGTTTCCATGTTATTCTATATCAGTTAATATTAATTTTAGTTAATATTAATTTTTAGCGGGTGTTTGTTTTATTGAAGCAGATAATCTTTAAAAAGTTTATGTCATTTATATCTCATTAAAAAATTAATATATATTAATTGTCTAGTAGTAAGATATATTAAAATTTCTTGGTAAATATACACAATATAGTCCGTGTTTACTTGCGTTTGTTGTTTAAAAGTATAATTGCCTAAACAATCGTCCCCAAGATTAAAAAAATTTAACTCGCATTACCAAGAAGTCAATTCATATACTCTTTCGTCATAGATAATATTGCAAATAAATAATATTATTTTAAAATAAAAAATTTAAAATTAATCTCTATTGCTAGATACTACAATAGTTTGAGAATAGCTTATTTATTAAATTTTCCACGACTAAACGTCGGTTAGGCATTCGAGTGATTAAAAAAAAATCAATCGACATTGTGTTATTAAAACATAATAATCAAACCAACCATTATAAAATAATATAATGATCATTTGAAATACTATATCCTCTAAACTCGAACAAAACATTATTAAGTCGGATAGTCTGATTTATATACCTAATCTTTTAAAATCGTCTGAAAATATTTAATATCTGTATTAACTTATGACAATTTTTTGATGGTATAAAATGGAGCTTAAAAAAATCTTATTCCGAAAGTTAAACAAACCACCCATCTTATATCATCATCAAGTATCGCTCTATTAATTTTTCTTTTTGCGATGTATGTAATAATGGACAAGTGCAATACTTGTAATATGTCAATCTAAAATTAAAATTAAAATATTGATAAATGTCTGAAATATCTATTCATCATCTTATTCTTCTTCTTATTCTTCTTCTTCTTCTTCTTCTTCTTCTTCTTCTGCTCCTTCTTCTTACTCTTCCTCTTCTTCTACGTAATAAATCCCGTTAAATGGCATTAAGTCATGAATTTAAGCGTTTAACCAATAAGTTATGATACTGTCAATATGCAGATTCTCTGCATAAGCGATATTAATTTTAGAATTATAAGCCTAGTTAATTTGTTGAATATATTTCTCTCGATCGATGTTACGTAAAAAATGCTTATATAACAATGAATAGAAATGTGAAATGCTTATTAATAGTATGTTATAAAAGTAGGTGCGAGTGAGATGATAATAATAATATACTGAAAATATGAGATGATGGAGGGTAAAATATCAGGACGATTCGACTTGGGGAATGCAAAAGTGACGTTACGTGGACATTTAGGCCTTAATACGTAACAATGGCGAGAGACCAAATGAGTTTTAAGACTAATCGCTTATAAATTTCAAGTCGTACATTCTCTAGAGCACAGAAACTTGATTGTCGCACCATCTATCGGAACCTCAAGCCACGACGTTCTATATTAAAAGTAATAATTTTATAACTATATATATATATGCACGTATATTATGTATAAATTATATGCGCAAGTGTAAATGCATATGTGGGCATCCTTAGTCCAATAATAGTCGTAATTATGCAGAATCGCGACTGAGAAGTGTAAAGCGCAGCTTAGCCGTGAAAGTCCGTTGGAATAAGAAGGAGAGCGAGAAAATCATCGACGATAAGAAGAAATTGCGATCCGCGAAGTAGCGATCCCGATTGTAGGAGTGCGTGTGCGCGACATTGAGCCTGTGTTGATGGTCAACCCACGCAGGAGGTACAAAGCAAAATAGAGTCGAAAAACGATTGACCGAGCAGCTGGGGAGAGTTTGTTCCGATCTCGCCACCGACGTCCTCATTCTCGCACTCGCTCGCTCTATCCGCTCGCGACTGCCTCTGGATTTCTCTCTCGGCTCTTCTCTTCTCTTCTAAATCATCACACACGCCCGCGCGTACGCACACACACGTACACACACGCGCGCGCAACTCTCGCTCTCTCGCCCCCCCCCCCACACACACACACTAATCGCCAACCATTGCGACTCGTGAGTTGTTGTTGCATTGAACTACTACTGCTACTGCTAGTGCCACTGCTACTACTGCTACTGCTAGTGCCACTGCTGCTGTTACAGTGTTGTTTTTGCTGTTGTTATCGCTGTCGCTTTATTGCGCTGGTGCAGTCGTAATTTGACGAAATAAACAAAAAATAAATAAATAAATAAATAATAATAAAATAAGGAAGGTTTTGGTGAAACGGGTACACGGATCGTCGAGAACGAGCATCGCTCGAGTGAGAAAAAGGATATTCGCATAATATAGGTAACGCGCGTGAGTGGGAAAGAGATAACAAGATAATAAGAGAACGAGCGTGAGAGATGGATTGATTGATAGAGAGATAGAGTTGGAGAGAGTTAGAGAGTTGGGTGGGGGGTGTCGCGTGAGAGGGTGGGAGGGAGAGAGCGAGCGAGCGAGGGAGCGAGCGCTAGAGGATAAGAGGTGAGAGGCAGAGAAAGACAATCAGAATCCAACTCCAAGGTACTCTTGACGAGTACGGTTCAACAACTAAACAGCACAAAAATAAAAATCTCTAACAGACAAAGAAGACGAAAGTTCATCGGCGTTTTCACGCTCGCCTCGGCCAGTATCTCGTTGCAATTGACCAGCTTTCCATCCTCTCTGGCAAAACCATTTTCCAATGCTCGTCAACCAAGATAGGTAGATAAAAAGCGACGACGAATGAGACGAAATATATCGTTCGTCGTAAAGAGGTGAGCACGACGATTAGGCAGAAAAGCACCGTTGTCCGCACGCTTCGGTGATGACGTGATATCATCATGGTCACAAGAACAGAAGATTTTGTCCTTTAAAGACAATATGTACGTAAAGTGTATATAACCCCTTGTGCAGCTACCTAGGAGGCTTTCTTTTTTTTATACTTTTTATTTTCGTATGCGCATTTTCAGAGTCGATGTCAATAATGTTAATAGTTTATTAATGTATTATTAATATTATTATAAGATCTAATCGCTATTGACAATGTTCTTGATCTATTTAAATTCTATACTATATGGGCTAATCGAATCTAATTACTTATTGTTGACCTTTTTTAGATTTTACTTACAACCTAAAGTTTGACTCGAGCTGGATCGTTATAAAGTCGTATGCTCTTGTGACAACCAAGCAGTGTTTGTGAAAGTACGGTGAGGCAAATGTCTTACTTATTGCTGAGGAAGTAGCTTTAAAAATTCTGAGCTAAATAAAAACGATCGAGCGGTTGAAATAATTCCCACAAAGATGGCAGAGGTTGATCCAGAAACCTTGCTCGAATGGCTAAGCATGGGTCAGGGTGACGAAAGGGATATGCAACTTATAGCTTTGGAGCAATTGTGCATGCTGTTGCTTATGTCGGACAATGTCGATCGCTGTTTCGAAAGGTAACCTATTAAAAATTGTTAGGTTAATTATGTAAACAGATGTTCAATCGATTTGACTTAAAGAATTCATTATTGATTTGATGTTTCAGCTGTCCACCAAGAACATTTCTGCCGGCTTTGTGTCGCATATTTTTGGACGAACTAGCCCCAGACAGTGTTTTAGAAGTAACGGCACGGGCGATTACCTATTATCTCGACGTATCTGCAGAGTGCACTAGGCGAGTGGTTGCTATGGAAGGGGCTATCAAAGCCATTTGCAGTCGACTCTTGTGTGCTGGTCTTGGCTCAAGAGCTAGTCGTGATCTAGCCGAGCAGTGCATCAAGGTTCTTTAAAGTTATTTCCATCCACATTCGTTCGATTATTGCCCGTCTTTATACGTTAGTTGTCAATGAATCGTTACTTGGCATAGATAAAGTAAGCTCGCAACTCGCGCTTATTAGACTCGCTCTCGCATCTATTATTCTCATGCAAATTCTCGCTATCTATATTTATTATTAATCATTAAATTTTTCATTCAAAATTTATTTAATACATTTTTATATGTAGACTCGCCAGGTTTCAATATACCAAAACATATAGAATTGCTTTATACCATCTATTTATATGTAACATATCAAACTCGTAATAAGTACTTTAATAAATTTCAGATTTATTTATTGAAAATTTATTCAACACATTTACACAACTCGTTCTTGTTATTTGCAATCGAGAATATAAAACTCATTTGGGTGTCCGAATGTTTCATCGCATCAAACTCCCAAATACAATAAAACCCAATTAATAATCTTCACAATGAGCAATGCATAATAAATTTTTTAATAAACATTCGATTTATTAAACATTCGTTATTTAGCTGCCTTAAACTTACACATTTTGTCGTAAAAAGATGTGTTAAACATCGGCAATATAAAAAGCGAATGAATTCCGACAATACAACGCGTAATTTGATGTTTGCTCCAGGTTCTGGAACTAGTCTGCGCTCGAGAGGCAGGCGCGGTATTCGATGCCGGGGGCCTCTCCTGCGCTCTCTCCTTCATCCGCGAGCACGGGGCCCAGGTTCATCGCGACACCCTGCACTCGGCAATGGCCGTGGTCTCGCGGCTCTGTGGCAAGGTCGAGCCCCAGGACAAATCGTTGCCGGACTGCGTCGAGGCCCTCTCGACGCTTCTACGACACGAGGACGCCCACGTGGCCGACGGGGCTCTGCGCTGTTTCGCCTCCTTGGCCGATCGGTTCTCCAGACGCGGCACCGACCCTGCGCCCCTCGCCTGCAACGGCCTCGTGTCCGAGCTGCTCTACAGGTGATTGATTGCTCAATCTTAATCCGTTCACTGCTTAATCTGTCGCCCGATTAATCAAGGATATCTCGAGTCTATGAAGATTTACCCAATCTACAGTTATTTAGCTGGTTGTATCACTAACCTCCTGAGGCCCTTTACGCGCGACTAGCCAATAACCTTTATCGCAATGAAAAGAGATTACACCCCACCTCACCCCACTCCATCCTACCACACCACACCACACCGATAATGATAAAGATAATAGAGACGATAACATGACACATGAAGTGACGCGATGGATTTTTTTTCCTCCACCAGACTGTCGAACGCGGCAGGACCAACGTCATCGGTAAACAGTACTCCTGGGAATGTGAAGACTCCGTCGACTCCAGGCGTAACCTCGTCGTCGATCCCGGCCTCCGAGGTGAAGTCCTGCGCCTCAGTCTCCACAATCATCAGTCTCCTGTCGACCTTGAGTCGGGGCTCGGCCTCGATAACGTACGATCTGCTGCGCTCGGAGCTGCCAGACGCGATCGAGAAGGCACTGAAGGGTGACGAGCGCTGCGCCCTGGACTCGATGCGCTTGGTGGATCTGCTGCTGGTACTATTGTTCGAGGGCCGCTCAGCCTTGGGCCGGGCGAATGCGAGTGCTGGCTCCTCGGGACCCCTACTTCCGAGGCTGAGGCGGTTGGACAGCGCGGGCGAGAAGAGCCACAGGCAGCTTATCGATTGCATACGCTCGAAGGACACGGACGCGCTCATCGAGGCGATCGAGTCTGGCGGTATCGAGGTGAACTTCATGGATGACGTCGGGCAGACCCTCCTTAATTGGGCCTCGGCCTTCGGCACCCAGGAGATGGTCGAGTTCCTCTGCGACAAGGGCGCGGACGTTAATAAGGGCCAGCGCTCCTCGAGCCTCCATTATGCCGCGTGCTTCGGCAGGCCGGCCATCGCCAAGGTCCTCCTGAGACACGGAGCGAATCCAGATCTGCGGGACGAGGACGGCAAGACGCCCCTTGATAAGGCACGAGAGCGCATCGACGAAGGCCACCGCGAGGTCGCGGCGATACTCCAATCGCCGGGCGAGTGGATGCTACCGCCCGCCGGCCAAGACGATCGCAAGCACGAGAGCGACGTGAAGGAATTCGCGGAACCCAAGGGCGACCCGGAAATGGCACCCGTCTATCTCAAGCGGCTTCTGCCCGTTTTCTGCTCGACCTTCCAGTCGACGATGCTGCCGAGTGTCCGCAAGGCCAGCCTCAGTCTCATCCGAAAGATGGTTCATTACATACAACCGGAGCTTCTCGCGGAGACCTGCGGCGCCGACAATACGACCGGCTGTGGCGCCATGCTCGTCGAGGTCATCGCCAACGTCCTTGACAACGAGGTGAGTCTCGCGAGAGATCGCGTTTACCGGCGACTCACTTCTTTTTAAGAATTACGCAAGCGAGTGATGCTCTCGTATATTTTTTAACAAACGCGCATATACTCATGGCCTCGGGATTCTGTCGGCAGGAGTATGATATAAAAGCAAGTGTCCCGTCGTCGATGATGGTGTCGCCGCAGCCTCCGTATGTCGAACCGTTTATCGGCCCCAAAATGCCATTTTCATCGCGCAAGTTTTCCCAGTACTACATTGTCGCCAAGACGGTAACGTCGGCCCAACTTCTTCTTTCTTGTTATATGCTCTTTGCTCTTGTTCTTGTTCTGTGAGATAAGTTTATTATTATTATTTTTTTTTCTTTCTCTCTCTTCATTTCTTAACCAAAGCTAACTTCAACAGACCTCCATCGACCTTTGATTTTGCTTTATCAATTTATAGAAAATGAGCCGTTTATTTACAAAATTATCATTGTTCATTTATTAATGCGTGGTGATCTAACGAATGTAACCAGCCTTTGTTTGACATTAAATTTGCACTAGTAGATTCCACTGGTAAGGAAATCTTGTATGTTAAGTTTGCTTATCAATGATAAATCAGAGTACTCAATGCTTACCGATAGGAGATGGTCTATAAAGGTACATATACATTTGTTATCACTTTTAACACACACACACACACACACACACACACACACAAAACCAACCAAAGAGAGTCTGACTTCCAAAAACCATGACTGGAGTCTCGGCGTTGCAATATAATTAAGTGTAACTGACACCAACATCCCACCAGCGTTTATTTCACTAGATTTATTTACATTTCTAATAATTTAATTAAAGCGTTTTCATAAATGTCGTCTAATTTAGTTAATGCCTTATTAACATTGCCATCACCATTGGATAAAAAAGAAAGTACATAATAGTAATGAGTCGCCTTCTTTGGAACGTCGATAACAGGAGGACGAGGACGGGCACTTGGTCGTTCTCCAAATGATACAAGACTTGATGGTAAAGGGTAAGGACGAGTTTCTCGAGCACTTTGCTCGACTCGGGGTCTTCTCGAAGGTGGGCGCATTGGCAGGACCTCAAGATGTCCCAATCGAGCCCGAAGCCGAGCCCAGCAGCAGCAGTAACATCAGTAACAGCAACAGCAATAGCAACAGCAACATCAACAGCAACAGTAACAGCAACAACAACAGCAACGGCAACAGCAATAGCAACAGCAACAGCAACAACAGCACAGTGACAGTCACCGGTGACGAGTTGAAAATCGAAGACGCCAAGGAGTTGCTGATCGGCAAGGCGTATCACTGGAGGGACTGGTGCGTTTGTCGAGGTCGGGATTGTCTTTACGTCTGGTCGGATGCCGCGGCCCTGGAATTGTCCAACGGCAGCAACGGCTGGTTCAGGTTCATCCTGGACGGAAAGCTCGCCACGATGTATTCTAGTGGGAGCCCAGAGGGTGGCACCGATACCGGCAATGGTAACGTTTCGTAATTTTATTTCTTTATCGTGTCTTGTGAGTATCGTAACGCAAGAGTAATACGACTTGCGACTGAGCGTGATGTGAAAATTAATGTGACTGTTTGATTAATCGATTGGCCAAGACATTAATCCCTATGTCTTTAATGGAGCGTATTTTAATATTGACAAAATCAATTTAGAATTATTATTAATTATTTGTTTAATATTCTTTAATTTTCATTTTTTTTTTCCTATCTTTTTTTTTAATTTTCTAATTTTTAATTTTTATTCGCCTTGCCCGTACAATGTTCATACTAATGCTCATAAGAATAATATAAAAATGTTTTTATGGAAATGGATAATATACTCGAAAGTATTTATCATAACCTGGCAAATCTCAAAAATTTGTAATCCCATAGTTCGATATGAACTATTTAAATATTTACTTTTGCAGGTATAGACTAACATCTATTCTGGAACAATAAGCTCCAGCTTATTCATACATTAAGGTTTTCTTTTAATTATCATTATTATTGTTTTAATTTATACATTTTTAATATATTCAATAAATGATTAAAAAAAAAAAAAAAATCATGAATTTTCACATCATATATTAACGATGCATTTGCTCAGCTTTTATCGGCTTTCGATCACGAAATGAAATTTAATTTTTCAATAAAAACATGAAAAAAACATATTTTATTATATTTGTGTCTAACATCGTTGTGTAATTCAGTATATTTTTTTTAGCACTTTTAAATTCACTGCATTGTTTCCTCTCTTCCTCTCCCTTCTCTCTCTCTCTCTCTCTCTCTCTCTCTCTCTCTCTCTCTGTATATATATATATATATATATATATATATATATGAATCTTTTCTCAGCTTTCTAATTCTTTCTAATATTATATCTTTATCTTTACTAAATTTATTTATTTTTACTCTTTTTATTTTCTTATTTTCTCTTTTTATTTTCTTATTTATATATATATATATATATATATAAAAGAATCGTAAGGTAAATAATATTTTACAAACTTTCAACAGGAAAGGGAGGGAGGAATACCGAGTCACTTACTACCGAAGGTTAGTACGATTTTTAACCATTTCACGTCCAATACAGTAAAATTCTATTACAATAACAATAAACGAAATATCAGTAATAGCTATTAATGCAAATATTTCATCAAAATCACCATTTGCAGAAAATCGTGGAGAATTTTTGGAAAAATTGCAGCGGGCCCGTACTCAAGTGAAGCCAAATTCCGTCAGTCAACCGATTCTTTCGCGTCCTGGATCAACGAGATTAGTTATAGGCAATTGGGCACTTTCCAGTAAGAAGGAAAGCGAACTTTGTATTCATAACAGCGATGGCCAACAACAAGCTACTATTTTACGTGAGGATTTACCGGGTTTTATTTTTGAATCGAATCGAGGAACGAAGCATTCGTTCACGGCCGAGACAAGTCTTGGTAAGTTCACGTCGACACTACACCGTAAAAATAACGCGTTTTCCTACATGATTAATTCATTATTTTCATGAGAGTATTTAGTTCCTCGTTAAATTTGGCCCTCTCATTAGAAGCACCAGTTCAGCAAATAATTAGCAAAGTAAAACTGTTGCCACTTAAATTCACCTTGACATTAATGTCTAAATCAGCTGCTGAACAACAGACGGCTGAAACATAAAAGAAAGTGTTTACTTATAGGTCCAGAGTTTGCCGCTGGTTGGGCCGGGAAGCGCGGCAAGCGATTACGATCTAAGATCGAAGCCATAAAGCAGAAAGTGAAAATCCAAGCTCAAGATATTTACGAGTGTTATTTTAAAGCAGCGCAAGCACAGCCTCGCGGCGTCGTTGCCAAACTCGGGGCAATCGTCGTACAAATTGAAAAGGCGTGTCACAAGCAACAGCAGCAGTCCGGGAGTCGCGAGTGGCGCGCAATATTGCAAGGCGCCCTCGACGAGCTAAAAGTTTTGTTGAACGAGGAAGGAAAGGTTTCAGCTTACGAATTGCATTCAAGTGGTCTTATTCAAGCGCTTTTGGCGCTACTGGCCGCACCGCCCAATACTAGCGCCCAACATCTATCACCTCGAATGAATAAGCTAAGGTTGCAGAGGATAGCTGTTTTTAAAAGTTGTTTTCAAACAAGGGATACCACAATGGCCGATAATTTCGCCAAGGTCCTTGTTCAAAAGCTCGTATCCGTATTAGAGTCCATCGAAAAGTTGCCCGTTTATTTATACGATACACCGGGATCCGGATATGGTTTACAGGTAGATTATACTCTCTGACGTAGCTTATACATATATATAATATTATAATATCGACTTATCGATATTTCTTGTTTTATAATTTACTTTATTTATGCGTAGATTTTAACAAGACGGCTAAGGTTTCGATTGGAAAAGGCTGCGGGCGAGAGCGCCTTAATAGATAGAACTGGCAGGAATCTCAAAATGGAACCGCTTAGTACCATACAGCAATTAGAAAATCATTTGCTAAAAATGGTCGCCAAACAGTGGCACGATCACGATAGAGCAACATTTACTTTTGTTAAAAAATTAAAGGAAGCAAATAGATTAACCTTCAAGTATCAGCATGATTTTGATGAAAATGGAGTCTTGTATTGGATAGGAACAAATGCAAAGTAAGACGATGAAAAGTAAACATATATATATTCAGGAGTTGCTATTGAATTCTCATATCTCGTAAAATATTTCACAATGTAAAATTCCATAAGAAAGACTTAACAGAGTTATGTTAACTTAAAGACTTAACAAACTTACATAAGAAAAACTTAATTAATTAATTAATTAATTAATTAGTTAGTTATTCATCTTATCTCTATATTCGCATGTCTCTTTCAGAATCTGTCCCGAGTGGGTGAATCCTGGCCAATACGGTCTTGTCGTAATTACTTCGAGCGACGGTCGTAATTTACCATACGGACACCTTGAAGATATTCTTAGTCGAGATCCGTCCGCTATGAATTGTCACACCAATGACGATAAAAGGGCTTGGTTCTCCATAGACTTAGGAGTTTGGATTATACCGACCGCTTATACTTTAAGACACGCGAGAGGCTACGGTAAAAGTGCTTTAAGAAATTGGATGCTTCAGGTAAATATAATTGACATAGCTTAACGCTCCACAAGCTAAGATATGTACATACATGCACACATATACGTTTACAAATATACTGTATCATAAAAAGTTTTTAAATAATCGTTCATAAGAAGGTGTATCATTTCTTTGTACTTGTCAGTTGTGTATTGTCGGGCCACGAAATTCCTTTCACTTGAGAGACGCTGACGCTGTCATTTTCTATTCTGTTTAGGCATCGAGAGACGGTTTCAATTGGATAACGCTTTATACTCACGTAGAGGATTGCTCGCTGAATGAGCCTGGTAGTACATCAACGTGGACACTAGAGCCAGGACTAATTAGTGAAGAATCTCAGGGCTGGCGTCACTTGAGATTACAGCAGACGGGTAAAAACGCCTCCGGTCAAACCCATTACCTATCGGTATCGGGTTTCGAGGTTTACGGAGAGGTTACGGGTGTATGCGAAGACTTAGGTCGCGCTGCCAAGGAAGCCGAGGCCTGCGTGCGCAGGCAAAGGCGATTAATCAGATCTCAAATATTGCGGCATTTGATTGCTGGAGCAAGGGTGGGACGGGGTCTCGATTGGAAATGGAGAGATCAGGATGGAGTACCACCAGGTTAATAAAACACTTTTTAACATTAATTTTATGCCGTATAATTTGTTATTACAATAATGCAGTCGTAATGCAGTCGTACATGCAGTCGTACATGCAAACATTATAATAAATTAATAATCTAGCTTTGAATGATTTTTATGAACGATAAATAAATATAAATTGATAACAAATAAATTGATAAGATCCATAAACAATTTGCGTGATAAATTAAGTTTACTAAATTAATCGTTATAAAATTGTAAAGTATATGTAAAAGTGCGACTGACGATAAGATTGTATTTGTAAGTTACACGAAAACTTGTGTAAAGATTGAAAATGTTGGCATAATCGTTTGCCCTGTGTAGGTGAAGGAACTGTGACTGGAGAGCTCCACAATGGTTGGATCGACGTTACGTGGGACAATGGGTGTTCAAATTCTTATCGCATGGGTGCGGAGGGAAAGTACGATCTCAGATTGGTTTGCATAAGTGGTAGCACGAGCATCGAATCGTCAGCTGACAATAATACGAAATGCAAAAATGGCACTGGAGTCTTAACGGGGCGCAAGTCCAACAGTACGCCTAGTTTACCCGATTACTGTACGGATACGGGAATTCGCTGCTCCGTCGCTTCGACCGATCAAGCAGGGAGCGCCGATAATCTTGCGGCAAAAGTAAATTGATTATGAATCCTTAATCGATAAAGTGTCGTTCTCCAATCAAACATTAATATTCGTACAATATTCCTCTCGCTTTAGCAGGCAGCTGAATCAATTGCGGAAAGTGTCCTTTCGGTGGCCCGTACCGAAGCCGTGGTAGCCGTGACCGGGGAAAGCGGCGTTAATTCAACGGGGGAACTGTCGGTTGTGCTGCATCCGCGGCCGGACACTACAACAGTAACGAGCGATTTAGCAACGATCGTCGAAAGCTTGGCTTTAAATACCGATTGTCCGTCGGCCACGTCTGGCAATGGCAACAGCAATCGAACGTCAAACAGCTCAAAACCTCTGCTCTCGACTGTTCGCGGTGGTAACAAGGTAGAGAGAATAATGCTCGAAGCTACTACCGAGGCGCATGAATTAGCGATATTAGCAACTATTCGCCTATTAAGGTGTCGTCTTTTCTCATTTGCATCGTGCATGCCAATTTGCATTATAGAGACTTGCGCATTCGGCGTGGCAATAAAACGGCAGCGATGAATATATTGAACGTTGAAAGATCCTCGACTATTATCACTTTACTTTATGTGAAACGTTTATGTGAATTTGGATTTTCAGCCGGCGAGTGGTTTCTTCAGTCTCGAAGCAGTTGAAGTACTGGATCGAATGCGCGAGGGAGCGGACAGATTGCGAAATAATACCAATAGTTTTTTAAGTGGCGAGCTACTTGGCCTAGTCCCAGTGAGGATCAGCGTGTCCGGTGAAGCTGATGAGAATTCCACAAGAATACGACCCGCCCCGAGAAATCACGCGTCCACGGCTACGGCTATAAACGCGGCCAATATCACGACCACCGGTCTCAGCGAAGGTAAGGAAAGACCTTGGAGTCGACCTGTCGCTAACTCGCGCAGCAATCTTTATTCCTTTTCTCTCTCTCTCTCTCTCTCTCTCTCTCTCTATCTATCTATCTATCTCTATCTATCTATCTATCTCTATCTATCTATCTACCTCTATCTATCTATCTATCTCTATCTATCTATCTCTATCTTTACACGTGTTTTGTAAAGTTCAAGCTGCGACGCTTATTTCATCGTTCTTTGTCTTTTCTTTCTTTTTTCTCTCTGTAATTTATTCTTTTGCACGGTGATGCGATGTGTAGGTTCGAAGGACTGCTGCCCACGCGACAAAGAAGCAAGCTCGTCGTCGCAGAATAGCGCGGCTGGATGCCCCGTCGTCGTTACCACCAATCCCATGTCCGTGTCAGTGCCGAATCTTGCTTGTAGTGACACTATAAACAATACCCTGGAACCAGTAGCAGCATCCGGTTTGTTAGAAACTTTCGCTGCAATGGCCCGCAGGCGAACATTAGGTTAGTGTGGAATAGTTTTCGTAAGAAGACGTTGGATATGATCGAATGTCACTACTCATCATCGAATTAAAATAGTTATAAAGCAGAGAAAATTTGCGCAGTTTTTTTTTTTTTTTTTTTTTTTTTTTTTTTTTTATTGGCTAGACCATGTTATCTTAACCGAACGAGCCTCTATGATTTATCTATCATTTCGTTACGCATATTAAATTAAGAATCGTAAAAATGACCGAAGCGAGCCAAACATCGATAAAAAATAATTAAAAAAAGAAAAAAAAAATTAACTTATTTAAGCTAACTGAAGTATTATTAACGTTATTATTCTTATATCATGTAATTGTGCAGTTTTATCATTTGGCCAGTGCATAACATACAACATTTTATACAACGTTAAAAAATAATTATCAAATAGTACAATAAGCGTATGTCGATGTTAATTTACATGCGTATTAATTAATTTGTCGGTTAATAATTGCCTTGTAGGTCCAGCCGCTAGTCAACATATAGCATCAAATACCATAACCAGTTCAAATTCGCGAGGATCAAACCCCGTTTCCAGTTTGGTCAGATTGGCTCTGAGTTCAAATTTTCCAAGCGGACTCCTTGGCACCGCACAAAGCTATCCAAGCTTAACCAGCAGCAACCAAATTTCAGGTACAACCAACTGTTCGGGAGCCGTTGGTAGCGGTGGCCTTGGACAAGCTCTTACGATGTCCTTGACCAGTACTAGCAGCGACAGTGAATTGGTAAGTGGGACGACGAGGCCAATTTTAAAAGGAACCGTCAGCTGTAATGTGCCATCGTAATGAAATATATTCGATTACAGTTGAAAGTATAGTTTTTAATGTAATTAATCGCTCTTGTTTTTTCGTTTTTCTTCCTTTTCATTAAATCACTGTTGAAATTAAGATAAAGAAAGCCAAAGTCCGAAGATGTTAGCGGTGTCTTTCGTTTCATTCAATTTACGTGAATTCAAATCACTCCTCGCCACCGCCGCCGCCGCCGCCGCCTCCTCCTCCTCCTCCTCCTCCTCCTCCTCCTCCTCCCCCCTCCCCCCATCTCCCTATTTTTAAACAATTTATTATAAATCAATTTATATAAACGGTTGCTCGATAAAATGAGTGGTCGTGATTGGTAAACTTTTCACGATCTAAAATTACAAATAAAAATATCAATCGACTGCTATTGCAGGTGAGTCTTGAAGAGTTCTTAGAAGCGTGCGGAGAAGTTACATTATCGGGTGTGGGGACACGCACCGGTGGTGGCCCCACACTTCTTACGGAATTAGAAGACGATGAAGATGGTGTTTTGGCCGAGGAGGAGGACGACAACGATGAGAACGATGAACAAGTAATTTACACGATAGTTCAGTTTATTTACGTATCCATTTATACTAAGAAAATGGTGATTTTTATAATAATAAGTTTTTAATTTTCAAGGAGGTGGATGACGACGAGGAGAACGAGGAGGATGGCGGCGATGAAGGCGAATTCCAAGAAGTAATGGTCAATCGCAATTTACTCGCTGCGTTTATGGAAGAGCAGGCAGCGCCAGCGAGTAGCAAGAGACGAGCCTGGGACGATGAGTTTATATTGAAACGTCAATTTTCCGCGCTGATCCCAGCCTTCGATCCGCGACCCGGGAGGACGAATGTCAATCAAGTAATAGTCGCTACCTAACCAATACTCACACCAATCGGCGTGCCATTATCACGCTGTCGTTAAATAATATCGTCCTCGTTATTTCGCAGACAACGGATCTGGAAATTTCTCCGCCGGGTAGCGAGCCCAGGATAACAACGCACGTCGGCTCATCGACAACGACTGGCCCAAAGCTATTGCTTTCCTTGAAAGGGCCTGGCCTACCGGGAGTTCCTGATGTTGAGATACCGCTGGCTGAGCCGCACACTAGCATCTTCCAATCTGTACAGCAATTAATGCAGCTCGCTGAATTGGGAAGTAAGCAAGAGAGGCTGAGGAGAATATGGGAGCCAATATACACGTGAGTAACGCGTCACAATTCGTTACCTGGACGATTGATTAAGAATGCGAGTGCGACGAATAAGCCAAGCCATAAGTAATACCAATCGATTGAAATTTAATTGACAATAATTCTGCTTTCCCAGCATAATATACAAAGAGGCTAAAGAAGACGACTTGTCGGGTCGGACAACTCCAATAGCAAATTTGTACACTCGCAATATTAACCAAAACACGAACGGCTGCACCGTCGAGGACGTGTTGCAGTTGCTGCGTCACGTGTATGTGCTGGGTAGTGGTGGCAATGCGGGCAATCTTAACAGTAGCAAAGCGATGCAGACGCAGCAGGACGACAATATCGATCACAACTGGGTGCACCCGGACGACTTTACCTCAAAGAAGATCACAAACAAGATCGCCCAGCAGATCCAAGATCCGCTAGCTCTCGCTGCCGGGGCTTTACCAAGCTGGTGCGAGGAACTCGCCAGGAGTTGTCCTTTCCTACTCCCTTTCGAGACGCGTCGTCTCTACTTCAGTTGCACGGCCTTCGGGGCCTCGCGTTCGATCGTCTGGCTACAGACGCAACGTGACGCGGTCCTCGAGAGGCAGCGCGCGCCCGGACTTAGCCCGCGACGAGACGACGTGCACGAATTTCGCGTCGGTAGGCTGAAACACGAGCGCGTTAGTGTGCCGAGAGGCGACAAACTTTTGGATTGGGCCGAGCAAGTACTCAAGGTAAAACTTCAACGATTTTAAACTCTTTGTAATGATAGTTGGCTAATTTATTTCTCATTACTCTTTTTTATCTTGAAATTCATTGCAATTTGACTATTGTTATTGCTATTGTTATAATAAATACCATTCACAAGGGCGTTAATTATTATATCAATTGTTTATAATCCATCCGATCGATCCATCCATACCTTCCTGTCAGTTGTTTATGATAATGAAGTAGCAAGCTCGTCGATACGATAACGATACTTTGTTTCTCATAATTCGTGCATTATTGTGCGCAGGTACACGCAAATCGCAAAAGCATACTCGAAGTGGAGTTCGTCGGTGAAGAGGGTACGGGCTTGGGTCCGACCCTCGAGTTTTTCGCCCTCGTTGCGGCGGAACTTCAGCGCAAGGATTTGGGCTTATGGCTGTGCGACGACGAGGATTCTCGCGTGGACCATGAAACGCGTTTCGGCTCGGAGGATGGCGGCGAGCGTCAGCGCTCCGTGGGCTACTACGTGACGCGTCCGAGCGGATTATTTCCCGCGCCACTTCCACAGAGCTCCGAGGCCTGTGACAGAGCAACGCGCTACTTTTGGTTCCTCGGCGTGTTCCTGGCGAAGGTATTACAGGACAATCGGCTGGTAGACTTGCCTCTATCCCGTCCGTTCTTGAAGCTCATGTGTCGGGGTGACATTACGAACAACGTTAACGAGAGAATTGGCTTGACGACGTCGAACGTCGCTACGCAAGAAAGTATGTCGTCGAGTATGACGAGTAGCTTTATATCGGAAGAAGGAGAGCAAGACGAGAATAAGGTACGTCAGGCTCGTGCTTCATCCTCACGTTGCCAAATAATTTCTGCTCCCGATTGACATTGTTATTAATAATTACTTATAATTTGCGTCATCGACACGAGGCATATAGTTAATTATCTTTTCTGCAACAGGATGGTTTTAATCTTGAGCCAGTACCTTGGTACGATGGTATTCTCGACATCAACGACCTTGCTTTGGTCGATCCTGTTAGAGGGGAATTCTTAAAGGAAATTCAGGGTTTGATAACTAAGCGTGAGCGGGCTATTTCGGAAGGACATTCATCCTCCGCGGAAGATAATTTTATCGGAGAAACATTATATATTTCACATCCTTCTGGAACGTCTGTACCCATTGAGGACTTAGCTTTATCAATGACCTATTCGCCTAGCTCAAAAGTATTTAAATACGATTATATGGAATTGAAGGAAGGTGGTGTAGATATTCCGATTACGATAGAAAACGCTAAGGAGTATACCGAAATTACGACTAATTATTGCTTCGACCGTGGTATTGCTAGGCAACTCGAAGCCTTTAGGGCAGGTTTCTCTAAAGTCTTTCCCATGGAAAAATTATACGCCTTTAGTCCTGAAGAAGTTAAGGCTATGCTTTGCGGTGAACAAAATCCACAATGGACTAGAGAAGATTTATTAAATTATACAGAGCCAAAATTAGGTTATACCAGAGAAAGGTAACCCTTAAACAATGTATTATTTTACTATATTATAATTTAATGAGAAGCATTAATAAATTAAAAATTCTTCCCTTAGTCCTGGATTCCAGAGATTTATCAATGTTCTGCTATCGCTCAATGGTCTAGAGAGAAAAGCTTTTCTACAATTTGCTACGGGTTGTTCTGCATTGCCACCAGGTGGATTGTGCAATTTACATCCTAGATTGACAGTTGTACGAAAAGTTGACGCTGGTTCTGGAGGTTATCCATCGGTTAATACTTGTGTACATTATTTGAAGCTGCCCGAGTATCCGACAGAAGAAATTCTCAAAGAACGACTTTTGGCTGCTACTCGTGAAAGGGGTTTTCATTTAAATTGAAAACTTTTCTGTGTAAACATTGTTATAATTTTAATAATAATAGAAGTGTTGGGTGATCATTTTGTATATCTTTGAGAGAGAATAGAATATAATATAAAGTATAAAGTATAAAGAGTTATGTCAAGTTCTGCTTTTTAACTTGATGTATGATGTATGTTTATGTGCATTCGCATGCAGAAGCATATTTTACAAACTAATTTTTCCTAATCGTCTGATTCAACTGTGTCCAACAATAATAATGTATTATTTGGTGTGTACGTATTGGGAAACTGTTAATAGCGGCAAGCTATGTAGTTGGTGATTTTTCTACGCTTGCGAAAATAACTACAAACCATGAGACTCGTCCACATTACTACCTAATAGTCGATTTATAATTAATTTTTGTAAAATATCACGACCATTGTCTACATACCCTCCTATTGCTGATTCTATGCTTACTTCTAATAATAGAATACGAACGTTTATTACCTATTTGAATGACTTAACAATTATTAAAACAAAAAACAAACAAAAAAAAAAACAAAATGTTATATTAAATAGTTAATATAATAGAAAACAAAAGTGATGAAAGCTAGGTATTAAACATCACAGTGATGATTATCAAATAACCGCAAAGATGTTACCAGACCAAGCTCGTGTGTTTCAAGTCTCGATAAATCATTACACAGTCGATAATTGTGACTAATATTATAATAAAATTATATTAAATATGTGTAATGTAAAATTTTTTAGTCATCAGAAAAGTAGTATTGGAATAGGCTAATACTATTAAATGCTACTCCTTATCTTTATAAAGGTTATTATTTATAAATCTATAATGAAAATGGGGTTGACAAAAGTAGGTATACCAGCATCAAGTGCGTCAACATTTACTATGTTGAAAATGTGATGAAAATTATACAAGCGTTCGAGAAAGTAAAAGAGAATATTAATACATCGTCTGCGATAAAAATTATTGCTAATATGGTGATGTAAATTATTATCATCAATACTGTTGTATCAAATTTTAGGGGGAGGGGGGAGGGGGGGGAGGAGGAGGTAACGAATAAATGGAAATATGTTATCGACAAATACTATTATTTTAGTTACTATAAGTTACTTTTGTACATAGTTAATATAGACAAGCATCTTTAGTCGGAAATAAATTAGAAATATTGAACTAACTATTGTCAATGTAAACTATCCACAATGGACTACATACATTCCTCGACCATACCTCTATTATCATTTTAAGTCTTACACCTTATTTGCCTCATATCGTTCAAATAACACATCTATATAATTATAATAATGATAGATCTACAAGAATGATTATAGATAGAATACTTTGCATTAAATCAATTAATATTATAGTACAATATTTGATATAAAAGTAAAAAATATTAATAAATATACGGAGAATATGTAAAACTGATGAAAACATACGTTTACAATCACTATATTATTTGAATAGATAAAAATTCATTTTCTTAATAAACAAATTATAAATCAGTATATGTAATGTAGAATGAAATTCAATAATCTTGACAATGGATTTAAGGATTTAATTAAAGATTAAAATCTTTAATCTTAAAAATATTTATACTTAAAAAAAAATGATCAAATTAGTATATATATATATATATATATTGATGTATCGGATGTTATATTTAAATTTTAGGAGAAATTAAAAAAACATTAAATATTTAATTGCTCTTGGTTTAAGTGAACATAAAAACATTCTATCAAGTGCTTATTAACTTCTTGAATTCCCAAGTTGAGATAATAACGTACAGTAATTGTTATTCATGTTTTAATAAAGCTATTTAATTAATTTGCATGTATTATACTGAAAGAATGAAGTTTTGAAATTGCCGAACGTTCGCGTACAATGAAAAAAACTTAATGAAATAGTTATTTTAAAAAAAATATTTGATTTTTTCATCTATATAAATGTCAAATTCAAATTTTTATCTTACTTAATTGATGATTTTATTGTTGGGAAATATGAAGGGAATTTTATGTTTAAGAGAAACTAGATGGTTACTTAAATAAAAATTAAATAATTTTTTAATAAATAGAAAAAATATATCTTTTATTAAGTTAAATTAATCAACATCAAATTTCATCATATTTCATCATATTTCATCATATTTCAAGTTCATTCAAATGTGTTTAAATAATATATAGATAATATGTTTTTAGATAACAATTGAGAAATCTATACACTAATCCAAATCGTCGATCTAAAAAACAAGAAAATTTAATTTAAATTTATTTTCAATTGAAATTCTTTCGCAAAGATATGATATTGAATTTACCTTGCCCAAATCAAAATCCATATCTTCTTGAATGAAAAATTCATCGTTGCTATTATTACTAGCTTCATGATGTATATCTTCATTCAATTCATTTACATTAATTTCTTCATTTTGATTCTCATTTAACATAGAGGAAATTTTTTTATTTTTATCCACGTCTTTAGTTATTTTGCTAAATCCAAAAGCCCTATTTAAATTTTCAAGATGAGGCTTGGCTTTAATGCGAAGATCTTCCGGTGGTACTAAGTACTCCATTAAGTAATCATTTACAGGTATTAAAGACCCTTCTGGATTAAGTGCACGATCAGCAAGTACGTTCCAGTGATATTGATTCCGTATATTAGGAAACATGCCTGGATTTAAGTACGTTGGTTCGCTAAATAATGTAGATTAGATATATTACTAATTATGTATAAAAAATGCTAATTGTGTATATAAAATTTTAAAAATAAATTAATGAATTAAACTATATCCATTGAAATAATTAAGAATTGATTTATTGTACAATTAAATATATTACCTACTTTTCCAAAACAGTCATAGAATCTATAAAGTTATCTAAAATTTCTATTTTTTCATTATCTATAACTTTTTCCAGTGATTTTATTGGCCTCATTTGTATAATTCTTAAATCGTGAACAAACGGTATTTCTAGATGTACCAAACACTAAGAATATATAACATTTAAAGTTAAATTAATTTTTATAGTTTTTCATATTGAAATCATATGAATCAATAAGCATCTATATATATATATATATATATATATATATATATATAATTTATTAATTATATAATAATTTTCAACTCCACGTGATTTCATTATTTACGTAAAAAATATTAAAGTTTACCCATATTTCATCATCATCCACACATGGAAACAGTACACCCATTTTTGGAAGATTATTATCAGCATAGATTTTCCTTACAATTGCTGCATATTCATTATCAACCATTGCCTGAACAAAACTATAAAATGCCTCTGAGTATTCCTTAAAAAAAAAAAAAAAAAAAAACAAACAAACAAACTTAACGTTTACAATATTACATATTGCATATAAAAAATATTTAACGACGCAAAATTTAATGCACACTTTCAATTACCAGCGCCACAAGATATATAACTTTTTGATAACATATATCTTTTATTAATCGTATGTTTTAGAAAATTAAAATAATTAAACATCTGCTTACATCAGCGGCTGGAACAATTATTCGTGATCCACATCCACTCCAATATTCAAGTTTTATATCATTTTGTGGAACAAAGCCATAAACCATCATCCCTTTTTTAGTTCCAGTATACTTCATAGCCATTTCATCCTCATCTATAATACAAAACTTAATTAAACAAAAAAATTTCAATATTCACATATGCTTACGCTTCGGCATACCCGAGAATGGTATGTATTTTCCTCCAAATTTATAACCATTTATAATTTTTTCTGCTTGAATTTCATTTCGATGAATATCAATCATTATATTTTCTTTAATAACATTTTTAGTACCATGTGATTTTGATAATTTATTCATTAATGGTGGATCGTTATAGTCATTTAGTTCATCGTCGATTGCCTGCAATTTCCACGATCCAAGTTTTGATGTTTCGGTTACCTGTAATAAATCACAAAACAAACAATTTAAAGCCCTTATTTTTACAACAAACTAGTCGTATTTCATTTATAATATTAACATTGATATATATGTCACATGGAATTTGTAATCCTGCCCATTCTAAATTAAATTTCCATGGCATTGATTTATTAGGTTGTGATTTATAGAATTTTCTTTCTCGTAAAAACGTATTTATATCTTCGTATTGACAATCGGTCTGAAATAGATAAACTTGATGATTTATGCGATTGAAATGAGATTTATTATAATGAATCGGAAGTGTAAATTAGAAAATACATTTTCTATAACTGATAATAAAAATTTTTGACTGTTTGTTATAAAACTTTCCGTGTAAGTTGTTTCTTCGAGTTCTTCGCCTCTATGAAAATAAAAATTAATCATTACAATACATATATTAATATTGCCCAAGTTCTTTAAATAGAATTTAAAATGTTTACACAAATAGAACATGCAGATTTTCATAATTTTTTAATTCATTGACTATAACGTCGGGATCGTATTTGTTTACTTTCTCATCATCTTCTTTAAAATTATTGAAAATAACCAAGTAGATACTAAGATCTTCATTACTGAAATAAAATATTTATCAAAGTAATTCTTTTAAAATGGCTCAATATCACAAGATTTATTATCATTTATTACGAATAACGATTAAATACTAACATAACTTCGTTTTTTATATAATTTATAGACGCGTAAAGCGCTTCGATCCAATTACAAGGATAACTAGTAGATTCCAAATTATTTATATATTTAATCATTTCCCAATTTGGTACTAATAATGTTTCTGAATACATTTTTATATTTTCTATTTCATCAAAATCACTAGTCTCCTCACCCATTGTTATAATACCAATTTCATCTTTTTGTTGTAAAAATATCTATGCGATAATAAAACACCATTTATTAACATTGAATATAATAAATACAATAAATCCGTTACCTTCTTTTCAACTAAAAGTTTCAAAGCATATTTTGCTTTATTTATAAAAGGCTCTTCTTCGCTCAAACATCGTTCGATGCTTGTACAGCCAATATTAATTACTCCAATTAAAACACTCTGTGGTAAGAAAAATTGTATTAATAATGTAATAATAATATATTGCTAAAATTATATTAAACTGTACTAACCTTTTGTGATTTTGGTGGCATTATAAATATAATTCGCTCCTTTTACAACTCAATGATTTATAAATTTGTTTGCTTAAACTAGGTGCCTGAAACATTGCAAATCATAATCGTTAAAACACCTAAAGTACCAAAAGGTTTCGATCCACGTCAATTAGTCACAAAAAATCAAAGCAAAGTAAAAACAATGTTTATATAAAGCATTTGCGCTTATACATTTTTATTAATTTATACAACGATAGAATACATTTATAAGTTTATTAATATTTGCATTAATCATAAATATACAATTAATGCAAGTAATTATTTGATAAATTTTTCATAGCTATGTATTTATAGGAACCATATAATTCCTATGGGATAAATTCTATTTCTCTTTGTGTTAAAAAATTTTTCATAAAATTAAAACAAACGTACGGATCAGTGATTTGTATCGATGAAACCGATAACTAATGTTCAAGTATATATTTGCACATACTGGCATTGTATAACGGTAAAACATTTTGGAAATGAAATTTTGTAACTATACATTACCGAATGCATATATTAAAGATAAAAGTCTTTGCTGTCTGGCGAACGAATCCATTTAGTCGTTTAAAGGATCGAAAGACAATTAATTCTTAAATAACCTTGGGTCCATCAAACGGTAAAGTACGTAATATTTTTAAAAATTTCATTTTTACGCTTGGCAAGCATGAAATATAAAAATATATAGAATAAACTGGAGCCAGAATACTAGAGAATGCGAGTTTAGCGATTGGTATTGAGGAAATAATGAGAGACCAGATTAACTTGTTCTCCCCTAAATTTCATAATGGCGCCTTTACACGACTAAAATATATATTCCACATCGTCCTATTGGTCGAGAAATTAAAAGCACTTTTACGTGTTGAGCCATGCAATTTTCACGCTCACGTAAGAGCGGCATAAGAGTAACCTCTTTTTTGGTACGCGTGGAAATTGGAGTGATCGAGACCGATTGTTTTATAATTTAAAAGATCGTTAGTGCAAGTACGCTGTTTATTTGATTATTTTACGAGACATTTGATTTTCAGTTATATTTTTTTTAGAAATTTGTCATTATTGCAAAAGTGTTTAATGTCCCAATTGTTCTAATAGTTTGTCGGTCAGTTTACTAACTCAAATTTTTTTCTCACATCTTTTCTACACATTCTTCGAACATAATTTATTAATTTCCTTTCATAAAAGAATGGGACGTTGTTGCGTTAGATTAATTTATTCCCTTATTATATTTAATAGTGATGTTAGTAAGGCATGACGAAGTGTAAGAGTCGATGAAAACAATATCAATATTGTTGAGTTTTTTTTTGTTTTTTTTTTGTTTTCCCAGATATTCCGTAACAATGAGTCGTTTCTTTGCAACTGGATCAGACTCCGAGTCCGATACCTCAATCGAAGAGGAGCAGGTTCAACGAGCACCAGCGGCAGCATTTACAGTACGAAACATTGACAATCTATATTTTTCAATAGCTTCCGTAATAATAATTAATTTGTAATTTATAATAACAATTAATTTATAGTTCAGCGACGATGAAGAAGAAACAAAACGAGTTGTCAGATCAACCAAGGAAAAAAGATACGAAGAAATTACAAACTTGATAAAATTAATAAGAAATTATAAAAAAATTAAAGATATGAGTTTCATGCTTAGCAGTATGTATATGTTTTATAAGTCGTTATTTCGATACTCTATTGGTACATTATGTCTTGAAAAGTAAATATTTGTGTTTTTGCTAGCTTTTGAGGATTTAATGAAAGCATATCAGAAAGCTTTACCCGTTATATCTAAAGAAGAAAGCGGCCAAACTCCACGATTCTACGTACGTTGTTTAGTTGAAATGGAAGATTTTATTAATGAAGTTTGGGAAGATAGACAAGGTCGTAAGAATATGTCAAAAAATAATTCTAAATCGTTAACTTCTTTGCGTCAAAAATTAAGAAAGTATAATAAGGACTTCGAAGAAGACATAACAAGATTCAGAGAGAATCCAGACGAAGAGGATGACGAAGAAGAAGATAAAGGTAAAGTTATACTTTTTTATCGACTTATATTTTCAATTTTCATATTCACGGTGATTTAATAAATTTTATCGCAATTTCCTTTAGCCGACGAAGCAGATTCAGAAGACGATGACAATCGCATCGCTGATTTTAGAAAGCAAGAGCCTAGTGCTCCGGATGATTCAAAATTCAAAGTATGTATCAACATAATATCCATTGTTATCTATGAAACTTTATTATAATTAAATTTGTTGTTTATTGGCGATAACAGAAGGGAATCGATGATGATGCCAGTGACAGTGATTTGGATTGGGGTAGCGATTCCGATAACGATAGCTCAAGTAGTTCAGACGATGACAAACCCCAACACGTCGGTGCCGATTATTTTAGGAAAACACAAAAGGATGGCGGTGACGATGAGCAAAAACAAATAAGAAAAGAACATCGTAAAGATCGTAAGGACAAGGATAGGAAGAAGAAGCGGGAAGAGGATGATGGCGAGGGAGAATGGGAAACTGTTAAAGGAGGAGTAGCAATTCCCTCTGAAAAACCTAAAATGTTTGCTAAAGATGCCGAGATCAATACAGTTGCCGTGTTGAAAAAGTTAGGAGAAATTGTAGCTGCGCGTGGTAAAAAGAGAACGGACAGAAAAGAACAAATTGAACTATTACACGAACTACAATGCATTGCTGAAACTCATAATCTTGGCGCACCTGTGTCAATAAAAATAAAGTTTTCCATAGTTTCGTCGATCTTTGACTACAGCCCAAACGTCTCTGACCCCATGAAACCTGAATACTGGACAAAGTAAGACTAACTATTTGCAACTAAACAATTGTATGATAGCCGAGTTATTGTATAAATTGCTTCGCGTTTCTAGGCTTTTGGAACGTATTACCGAAATGTTGGATATGCTTTTGAATGCCACGGATCTAATTATCGCCGACTCAATACCCGAAGACGAAGAAGAGTATGAAAAACCTGAATATAAGTTGCATGGTTGCGTACTCACGCTAGTGGAAAGATTAGATGAAGAATTTACAAAGATTTTAAAGGAGTGTGATCCTCACAGTAACAAATACGTCGAAAGGTCTGTACGATTAAGCTTGATTTATGGTATTAGATTGTCTGTTGCTAATCTTTTTCATAATGACATTTCATAATCATTAGGCTGAAAGACGAAAAACTCGTATCGTCAATAATTGATAAAGTTCAGGAATATCTAGAAAGGAAAGGTACGGTGTCTGAATTGTGTCGTATTTATCTTCGTAAAATTGAGCATCTGTATTATAAGTTTGATCCGTCGGTTTTGAAACAGAAAGAAGTAAGATTAGCTTAATTATATGATTTTATTGATTTATCAACATAGTGTTCTCAGACGATGAAATGTAAAATTTTTAGGGACAAGTTGCATCGGATGTTATTACATCGGTACAAGTGATGGAGAAACTTTGTAAATATGTTTATGCTTATGACGAGACCGATCGTCTTAGAACGAGAGCAATCCTCTCGCATATTTATCATCATGCACTCCATGATAATTGGTTTCAAGCTCGTGATTTAATGCTTATGTCACATTTACAAGAGACTATACAACATTCAGATCCCGCGACACAAGTAAGTTTTATCGACACTCCATATTCTTAATTGATTCTTAATAGATTGATTAAATTTAATTCTTAACATTTTGCCCTCAGATTTTATACAATCGTACAATTGCCCATCTCGGGCTTTGCGCATTCCGTCATGCAAACATTAAAGACGCACACGGCTGTCTGCTGGATTTAATGATGACTGGAAAAGTGAAGGAACTTTTGGCGCAAGGTTTATTGCCACAAAGGCAACACGAGCGTAGTTTGGAGCAAGAGAAAATCGAAAAGCAGCGCCAAATGCCTTTCCATATGCACATCAACCTCGAATTACTGGAGTGTGTATATCTTGTTTCGGCAATGTTGATCGAAATACCCTACATGGCTGGTATGACTATCCGTACAATAGAAATAAATCAATAATATTAAAAATTTGTAATAATTTGTTCAAAATAGTATAATTTTTTTAAAAAATCAATGCTCGAATGATTGCAGCTCATGAGTTTGATGCGAGGAGAAGAATGATTTCTAAGACCTTTTATCAGCAGCTCAGGTCAAGCGAACGTCAGTCGTTGGTTGGTCCACCCGAATCAATGAGAGAACACGTTGTTGCTGCATCAAAAGCCATGCGTAATGGCAATTGGACTGCTTGTAATAACTTTATTATCAATGAAAAAATGAACGCTAAGGTATCAAATTCCGTCCTACTCTTATTGATTTTATTGTCTTTTTTTTATCTCCAACAATATGAAATTTCTTAATAATTCTTACCACTTGTGAACATCTCAGGTTTGGGATTTGTTTTATCAAGCTAATAAAGTACGCGAAATGCTTACTAAATTAATCAAGGAAGAATCATTAAGAACGTATCTATTTACTTACTCTCACGTTTATGATTCAATCTCTATGCCGACTTTGGCCGACATGTTCCAGCTGAAGAAACTGATCGTATACTCCACTATCAGTAAAATGATCATTAACGAAGAGCTTATGGTAATTTATTATATTACTATACTGAATTAAGTTTTACGTTAAACTGTATATTAAGTGATATTAAGTGATATCGATACATAAAAATATTCATCGTAATTTTTTAATTTCTTAGGCTTCGTTGGATGATCCGACTGAAACTGTAGTAATGCATCGCAGTGAACCTAGTCGCTTACAATCATTAGCATTGCAATTAACAGACAAAGTTAATAACTTTGTAGATTCAAATGAACGTATTTTTGAAATGAAACAAGGTATGACAAAGGAAAAAAGAAAAATAGAATACTTTATTATTGAAATTTATGTACAATTTGTTAAAAATCATATTAATGGTACACAGGAAACTTCTTCTCCAGAGGAAATCAAGGTAATTTCCGCGATCGTCAAAATTACAATAGACAAGGACAAGATTGGGGACGTCAGAGGCGTGATCGCGAACGTAATCGTGAAGATAATAGAAATTACTAAATTTTATTTGATAATTGAAGAAAAAATTTTTACAAAAATAATTACATTGATAATCAATAAATCGGTGTTTTTATTCAATAAAACTGTATTTCATTAATTCATTATAAATGAATACATGTTATTTTAAAAATTGTTTCGTAAAACTATATTTTGTTCTTTTACAGAAGAGTATTAAAATTTATTTAATTTTTTTTCTTAATATTAGTATCTTTCATTTCTTACATTAATTATAATATAAATAATAAATACAATTTATATACATTTATAATACAAAATATTCGTTATGTACAATATTTTAACGCATCTAAGTCATGCATTTTCTAGATTTTCCATAATTTTGTTGCCCGTTAGAATGCAATCTGACGTTAAAACTAAACGAATACCTGCTGATTTTTCTATCAATCTACATGCTGATATTTCACTAAATGTAATTCCCCCAATTACACAAATTACTATACACTGAGGATGGATAGGACCTTGAATTCCTTTAAAGGTGCATCCGACAGTATTAGTTAGTTCTTCAAAACTTTTTGGATCTGTTATTTGTGAATTAAGAATATTTAAAATTTGTGCCTGAAATAAAAAATTATACCTCATAACGAGTATTTGAATTTCCTTAGCAATTTATGAATGTATTTCTACTCACTATAAGAGGTATATAAGATCCATTGAAAACGTAACTTGGACATGTTGGTCCTTTTAAATCTAATGGTTTTGACGAGTTAGGAAGCAATTTTAAGCGTCTTGTATTAACTGTCCACTTACTCGTTCGATTTGGCAATCGAGTGAGCATGTTTTCTGCTCTCGTACTTAAAAGATTTGCCGTTTCCAATTTATAAAATAGTGGTATGTGTTGATAGCCGTGAGCATGCAAATGAGTCTTCTGTATAGTTAATAGTTCGTCGTTGGTAATTCCGTCACTTGTCAACGACAATAGCGATAGTAGTCGAAGACCTCGATGAGGATTATCATCTAAAGAATAGCACTTTAATTAAAAATTTATTTTCGTAATATTGAAGTATATAAGATAATACCTATATTCTGTAAAATGTATGCCAAACATTCAGCTCTTCGAGTGCATTCCAGAATTGAAGTTTCTATAAAGTGTAAGGTTTCAAATTTCGAGGCAAGAGCATTGACGGTAGCTTCACACGCAGATATATGAAATTCCAGTTGTTGTTTAATTTTTGCTGTTTTTTGAAGAGTAGTTTGTACATAATGTTTCATTTCTGCTAGCTTCATGGATTGCATGGATTCTTGTTCGGCTGAAATGCATCGTTATTATATTTTTAAATCTAACGTTAGTTGTATTTAATCATTTAATTACATTTTAAAGATTTAGCTTTAGTGTGTAGTGTTGGAAAGGCATTACTAAAATGTTTGTCTCTCACTTCTCCATAAACTTGATCTTTAATTGGATCTAAAATGGTTTGGGAGGTGCCAAGAGATGCAGATCCTATATTTATTTCGACTACTTCACTCAGTAAGCCCAAATAAGTCACTGGCGTCAGTAACGTCGAAACAAAGTCTTGACTTCTATCCATTAAAATTAAAGCACCAAATTCGTCTTTTGTACTAGGAGACCCTAGAGATTCGTCCATAGCAGATATCATTTTTAATATATGTTGACTATGTTTGCCCAATGCAAATGTGAAATTGGGAATGCCAAGAACCATTCGTAATGTCCAAAGACTTCTTGCTAAAGATGGAAGTAGACCAGTATTCTTATGATAGTACAAGTCAGTAAATAATGGTGTTTCTAGAGATAAAACATTTCCATCGATTCTAATAAATTCCCAAGCTAATGGTCGCAAGGTGACTAATCCATAGAGTCCTGTAATTACGTAAAAAATTTAGGGGATGAATAAACTATTGCATTAAAGCCACATAAACCTTTAAAATACCATTATTTTTAAATTATTCACTTTACATCATGGCGTAAGCAAGAAATTTTCAAATAATTTTAAGTTGAAGAAATTTTGCTCACTTTGAATAGAAATATATATATATATATATATATATATATATATATATATATATATATATATAAAATTTTTTTGTCTTTAAAGCTTTCCAATTATAAATAGCTTTTTAGAATAAATAAATTTGAAAACCAATAGTATAAAGTGGCTGATTAAAAATATATATATATATTTTCTTGTATATTATTATTCCTTGGATATTTACATAAAACATATTATATAGATAAATATTATTTATCAACACGTTAGATAATTATTTAATATATATGTCAAGTGCGATGATTAATTCAAATAGAAACTGAATATCTTATAAACATATAGCATAAAATTCAGCATTCGATCAATTTATTATGTGTTTATAAATTATAGAAATATTACCATTTTCTTCGATTAAATCATTTACAGCTATTGGTATAAATGGTGCTATTAACATATGGTGAGAAAGACCGGGTGTTTGACACAATTCAGCCTTAATTTCATCAAAAACGTTTTGACATGTTACTAGATTACAGGTAACTACATAAATACGTTGAACATTGGTATACTTAAGTCCTTGAGCAAATTTAAATATCTTATCAACTCCATATTTCCTGAAATTAATTAATTAATATATTGTAGATAAAATAAATCAAATCAATCTTAAAGAAAACTATATTTTTCTTTTCATACTTTAAAACTGTTACTCCTACAAATGTATCAAGTATTTTCATTAATTTTTGTTCAATAATAAAGTCTTTTTTCCCTGGAATAATATCTAAAATTTCTACAAGTTTTCTTTGACTTATTTGTTGAAATGAATTCAAGCGATCGTCCAATGTAATATCCATTATTTAACTTATTATTTATTAGCTAAAATAAATAAAAGCTTCTTAATTATATACTCATATTAATCAACGAGATTTTTTATAATAACACTAGTATGTAAGCCTTTAATACCTTAGTATATTACAACGTTTATTAGTGAAAGAAATGAAGAAATGAAATATAATTAAAAATAATTGTTTCGTTTACAAAATTGAATAGGTTAATAATACACGGGCGAACAAACTTAATTTTTATATTTTCAATTTCGAATAAGGTTAGCCAATTCATCGTTACACGCATGCGCAAATATTGTCCAATATTTTGGACACTACCAAAGCCTTAATAGATATATATTTTTTTTTTGTACCTTGAACGTCGACTGGATTTATGCACAAATATTTTCTATTAATTATATAAGATATAAAGAAGTATACATTTGTTAATTTATGATAATGAATAATAGACGATTTTTATAAGAGATTTTTTATCGTAATTTTTATAAACAACGTCATGAATGATCTCATTGTGTATCCTTAAAAATTTTAAATATTTTCTCAACAATATCTTTTACAGTATAAGCTCTTAACGAAATAATTAGTGATTTATGCATTCCATTTCCTAGTGAACGAGAGGCGGATGTTGCTTATCAAACTTTGCGAGTAGATGCGGAACCGTCGAGGAGTGGTGTAACAAAAACATTAACTTTAAAATCGAATACACTTAAAGCGTACATTAACAATTGTTAATAACTTATTCATTAAATATATTAAAGTAAATATTTTTCTAATTATTTTTACTTATTTTAGTACTTTTTCTGGAAAAGAAGCTCGCAAAGTTCGAGTGGGATTAACATCATTTTTTGACACACTGCTGCTTATTACCGAAACTATGAAAGAATTTGATCCACCAGAGTCTTCTTACGATCATTATTAAAATTTTGATACGATCGCAAGATTGCTCGAGACAGATATGTCAGAGCGTACACCAGCACCTTACGCTCCAAGATCGGTTTATGGATACGCTATGTACATAGGATCGAATATGCTGTTATTATTATATTTAGTATGGGCGTTTGTACCCGAGGAATTTTTACATGAAAAATTGGGACTTACATACTGGCCCTCGAAATACTGGGCAGTGGCTCTTCCAGTTTGGATTTTAACAGCTATCGCTGTATTTGCATTTGCTATTTATCCAGCTATAAATATAAGTATGACACCGAATATCGATGATTTAAGAACAATTACGGACGAATATTGTTTAGAGCGACGTGAAAGCATACCCGGTGGTATTCCTCCAGTTTCTGATATTCCAATTACAGAAGTTTGTAGAAAATTATATTTACAAAACGATTAAAATAAAAGAATATTTTTCAAAAAATATTGCATATCATTATTCTGTATTTATTGGGATAAATAGTTTTAACGCCTAGCATCAAACAAAATTTCATCCAATAACGACAATACAATGCTTACCAAAAAGTGTTAATTAATAATTTTTACATATTTCTCTCCACAATGCATTGTAAATTCTCTGACATATATATAAATTATCGCATTACTCCGTTGTACATGAAAATCTAACGACAATGGCACCACATTATATTTCAAACAAATATTAATTTTCAAATGTTATCCCACTGACACGACTTGATTAAATTGTAAATGAAATAAAAAAAAAAAAAAAAAAAGAGAGAGAAAAAAATTAGCTTTATAAAATGGTTAAATGATATATTTAACGATATCTTTTATTATTTATTATTTTAATGGGACTTGGTTTGATGCTCAAATGCCGCTCAGCTAGCTATTCAAGCGCAAAATAGGTTTCTATCGAATTTCCTTCGCACGCGTCAGATAGTGCGAGAGAGGGAAAATAAACGTTGTACATCATTCGGATTTCCATACTATTGGAAATATTATATCGAATAAATAAATGAAAAGCATAAGTAAGAGGATGAAATATCAAGAAAGTGCGCATGCTATTTTCAAATGACGCGACATTGGCTCGAGTGGCCGCAGCAAGTTGCCGTCCGCCCAACTTTTAGAGCCGCGCCGTGTCAACACAGGAAGAATTCCTCGACGTGATCTTGCAATAAACCGTTGATATTTATTAAATGAATAAATAATGTTACGAGTAGCTGAGCCTATGATGTCCAACTCGTTGGTACCAGATTGGGCAAATGCAGAGCATAGTACCGGAGTAAGTCTTTCTTTTAATATTGACTTTGAAGGTTAGAATGACAGTGCAAACTTGGAATTGTAATGAATTATTTCATGTTTTTCATTAAAAGCTTTATTGCTATAATGTCCTTTAGCCGTAATATTTACCTATATAATATGTATTTCCATTCCAATATAGACTTCGATTATGGCTGTTGAATTTGATGGTGGAGTAGTTATTGGTGCCGATTCGCGTTCTACCACTGGGTGTGTTAATATATTTAATGGATTTTATTTAAAATTTTGCATTGTAAATTGCATGATAAATATTTCTTGCAGGTCGTACATTGCTAATCGCGTAGTCGATAAATTGACAAAGGTGACCGATTACATTTATTGCTGTCGGTCCGGATCATCGGCTGATACTCAGGCTATATCTGAAATTGTTAATTATCATTTAGGATTTCATAGGTAAATTATTGATAATGATAATAAAGATAATTTACCTTATGCTTATCGGTGAAATTATTTATAAGCTATTTTTCATTGTCAGAATGGAATTGGGAATGGAGCCAAGAGTTGAAACAGCGGCTAATGTCTTTAGGGAATTATGTTATAATTATCGTGACAGTTTAATGGCTGGTATATTAGTAGCTGGTTGGGATTCCATAAAGGGTGGTCAAGTTTATAGTATTCCACTTGGAGGTATGTGCACACGTCAACCTATCTCTATCGGTGGCTCTGGTTCAAGTTACGTATATGGTTATGTCGATGCAAATTATAAGCCTGGTATGTCTAAAGATCAATGCGTAGAGCTAGTTAGCAATAGTAAGTATTTTAATTATATTTTTAATCAAATAAATTGATACTAAATTATGAAAAAAGCACAGATATAATTTGTTTATTCGTTTTTAGCGTTGGCCCTAGCCATGTCTCGAGATGGTAGCAGCGGTGGTTTAATTCGATTGGGTATAATCACTGAAAATGGTATTGTTCGCAAAGTGATTAAGGAAAATGAATTACCAACGTTTTACGAAGGATAAAGTTATGGAAAAAATTTAATTATATAATATTGATACATTTGCAACGATATGGTAGAATATATATTGTCATTATCATGTCTAATTTTACATTTGATAAATAAATAATTATTAAACCTTGAAATAATTTATGAATCAATTATTTCATCCATGCAATTTCTTTGTTAATGTAAAGAGATTAAAGTTTTCAAATCATGAATACTTTTAATCAAACATCATTGTTTAATAGACATACTTTCAGCAATAAGAGCTTAATGTAAGCGTACATTAAACAAAAACAATGAATAGTAATATAAGCGCTAATATTGCTGAATTCTTAGTATTTCTAAAAAATTGTTAAATAATTATGAAAATTATAAATTCATGTTCAAAGTGTTCAAATGTTTTAGTCGTTTACATTCACATGACATTGAAATTTCTTTAAGATAATTTATGCATGTGTGCACACATGCACGCACACATCAATTATAATGAAATGTTGTTTTTAATCAAATTTCGTATAATTAATACATTATTACGGTGTCTAAAATAATATTGAAATAATAAATTGTGCTTTAAAATTGCTACTTACAAACTAATTATCGACGCTTAAAAAAAGATGAAAGCCTATACAAAAAGTATCAATGCTTAAAATGATAAATTGCAAATGTAAAATGGATAATTTATAAAAAATTGACTGAAAATATTAAATTGACAAACATTATCTTGAAACAGTCATTAAATATTATTATTTAGTTACTTGTGAATTTCATAGATTTGTAAGGTTTATTAGGTAAATTGCTTAGTTTCCTTGGATTTTAGAGACAACACAAAACTAGAATAATTGTACATCCTAGGCGCTACGCTAATATTTATCGAACAAGTTTTAAACGTTCATAGGCTATTTTGATCAATTTTGACGATCAATTATTTCTTCACCTACGTAGCTGAGCAATAGACCTAATCAAATATTTCGAACAATCAAAATGAAAATAAATGTAAGGCTGGATATTGCCGATATATGCTTAGGATTGTCGAATAATTGTCTTAATTAATATCACAAGCTAGAAGAAAATAATTATATTTGCCATCAATATTTGATTGTCGAGACGACTGATAATAATAATTTAAATATTTTTTTCACATTTTTCAAATGTGCATGCTCGTTCGGTCGTCCATTGCATGCTGTCCCATGCGGCAAAGCACATAATCCTTAAAGCACGAAGGAAACGCAACGTTACACGGATGACGCATAAACGATAAATGGCGTTGGATGAAAAATTCCATTTTAAACTCTCCAGCCTCCCGGTATTCGAAAAGTCGCTCCTACATTTTCAAATGCTCGGTGCTCGCTGCTCCAGGTGCGCTTCTCGCGAAAGAAAGAGATGCAGCATTAGGGGGAGAGACGAGGTCCGCTTGGAAATCAGGCCGTATTATCCACTTGTCTCGGGCCGAGGCTTACGTGCCCATTGTCAAGCTTAACGAGGAAATCGCGTCGGCGCGAGCACGCGACCGGATAAAGACCGGCGCGCGTCCCGGACCGACGACCAGTCGTCGACCACCGCCCCGGAGGAGACCGGCTCCTGCTGCAGCTGCCTCTCGCCGCACGTGAGATTCTCTCAGCATCCGTTAATCGACATTTTTTCTCACTGCCTCTGTTAATCGGCCATGTCGCGCTCGAGTCTCGGACTGTTTTTCCCTCCTCCGTCACCTAAGCGCCGATTTATAGTCGATGCTACGCTTTGTAATCGATCTTAATCGTCGAGTTCCTACGTCTCGCGAGGATCCCGAACGAGCTCTTTGCCATTTAATAATTTTCAGGCTGAGAGCTAGTGTTTCCGATCGCATCTATCCTGCACTTAAGCTATATTGGTCAAGTGTGCAAAAAGCTATTTCACCGAGTGTCGGTTTCGAGACAAAATGCGATAAGTAACTATACTTTTTTTTTTGTTTTTTTTTTGTTTTTTGTTTTTGCTCTTTTTTTTTTTTGTTTTTTTTGTTGTTGTTTTTTTTTTGTTCATTACTATTAATGCACTTACGAAGCAAGCCGTTATTATTTAACATTTGAAGTTCATATCCACAACATCCGAAGTGATTATCAATAGTTTAAAGATAAAAAAATAAAATAAAATACATAAAAGGTTTAAAGTAATCTTATTTTAGTATTAAAAGAGCGTTAAATCACCATTTCTAGATTATATCGAAACATTACTTTACGAAGTTTTAATTTTTTTAATTTTTTTATTGTAAATATCACATCTATAGTGTCTGAATCGTCAGTATAAAATGTAAATTATAAAAATCCATCACAGATGAGAATTTGTTGTCATTGACTATGAAAGTAGAAGATAATAACTTAATTGGCGGATGTAGTATGATAGATTTAAATTGGGAGCTGGTAAATAATTAATGGCAGTTAATCGCCATTTCGAATAAATATCAACGTAAAATTTAATATTTAATTAGCCCTAATAGTAACAAGAATATAGATTATACACGTAGCGTAGCTCTAATAATTTTTCAAATAAAGCAGTTTAAATATGACTTATACCCATCAGGTTGATTGCCTACGAACAATAGTTATCATGTCATTAACCATGTAAAAGAAAAATTTATATTCTATCATAAAAGAACATTATTTTATATTTCATCACATAATATATATTTGATAGAAAATACTCCACTACTCTCTGTCGACCAAATTGTTTTCCGGTACAATCTCGTTTAATTAACATTGGAATGGGTTTCGAGAGCTTGAGTGGCAATGACGATTTTGATGATTTATTTGTGATCGATAGAATATTGATATGGAGACTTCACCACGTGTACGCGATGTGACACTTGCATTTGACGTTATTACAAGTCATTAATACCTTACACGAGTTTATTGTTACTCATTTTAAATAAGCTCGAGATCATTCGGGCACACTGACTACGAACTATAAATATAAACGAACAGCTGTGTCACAAGTAATGTATAAATTAATATTTCTTTTTTATTTGGCACAATCATCAATTCACATATTCACAAGTTCTTACCGGTTATTTATACTTACACACAATTGATCACGGAATAACAGAACAAATAAAGTTTGTGATATATTAAAAAAAAAAAAAAAAAAAAAAAAAAGAAGAAAAAAAAAAAACAAGAAATATATATATATCACTCAACATTTTAAACATTTAAATAACAATGTATTGGAAGTAATTTAATAAGTACGCGACATCGAATGCTGGGAAAAGTGATCATTTATATGTTTTGCTAGATGATATAAGTCAATAAAATTGAACAATCTAGTTAATTTATAATTTACCAAGATAATTATTTTATAATTTGATTTTACGAGTTTGATTTTTCAGATTCGACTAATTCATCCAAGGAATATTTATTCAAATAATATTCCTTTTGATTGATTTATTATCGATACTAATTCCGTTTGGACACATGTACTATTCTAGATAAAAACAATAATATATTTTCCATTAATAAATATATAACTAAAATAAACATATATTACGTGGCAGCTGAATTCTAATTGATCGGAGTAAAACTCATTATTTCTGTTTAATTAGATTAAAATTCCACGCAAAGAATTTGGATATTAAGTAGAATATAGAATAATAATATTAAGAATTATAGTGCGTTGAATCTATTTGACCTTAGAGTTGCGCAATGCCGATCTTCCACACGCAGTCTAAACTATGAATAAACGGTTGTAATTAGAGAAATTTTTCGATTCATCTGACCTTTTCCATTTTGGAGCGCAATAACGAATAGTCATTATATTCGAAATGTGTCGCATATACATCAAAGCTCTAAATACTTAAAAATATCGCAATTTCCAAATTGCATAATCAAATAGACAGAAGCATCAAGATGATTAAGTTGTAATATTAATGCCGACAAATGTATTGAATCGATCGATAATTTTTATTTAAATTTCATCAACGAGATACTTAATCATATATATATATATATATATATATATATATATATATATATATTCCATTTAAGCATAAATCGCATTGTATTACGATCGTTCTCAATCAAGTTAATAGTTAAGTAGTCAATAGTCGACGGACAAATGATAAAACAGAAATTTTCTATAAAACTCATTACCGATATAAACAATCATATAATATAAGCATCGATACAATGATTAATAATACGATCAATGATTTTTATTAAATCGTTCATAAAACTATTAAAGAGTATTCCCGTCGATGAATAATTAATTAATATACGCTCGGTAGCGGTAGCATTGCCTAAGAAAAGATTTTACCCAATTTTGTTTCCCTCGAACAAGAGTGCATGAATAATCCGTGTTATTATTATCAAAGCGAATGACAAAACAATGTAACTCTCCTTCAATTTTCATTTCAAGTACATTTTAACTGTGAACGTCCCCTGAATAGCCGACGTTTAGCCGAGAGCTCGGCGTAATCATCGAAAGTCAAAAGTCCCGTGAAGCGGACTCACGGAGGAAAGTCGCACGAGGTGGGGCACTGCGTGTGCGTTAAGTCGGGCGCTGTTTCAGGTGCGCGGCCTGGTGGTGGCCGAAGATGACGATGTCGTCGTCGGGCGAATTGACGGCGGATATGCCGAGCGTCGACGATGTTATCGACTCGCTACGGAACTTCGGCCTCGCCGATTACGGGGTCTTCGTGTCGATGCTCCTTGGCTGCGGCTGCATCGGCGTCTACTTCGGCTTCGTAAAGCGATCGAGGGGCGAGGCCGAGTACCTCGTCGGCGGCCGCAACATGAAGACTTTTCCCGTCAGCATGAGCCTCATCGCGAGCTTCATATCCGGGATCTCGCTACTGGGAATGCCCACGGAGATTTACGTCCACGGGACGAGTTACTTGTGCATTGGCCTCGGGGTCGTCATCGTCGGCTTCATCATGTCCGGCGTGTACCTGCCCGTGTTCCACGATCTCAGGCTCACCAGCACCTACGAGTATCTGGAGTTGAGGTTCGACAGAAGAATACGTATATTGGGATCCCTACTCTTCGCAATTGGAATTGTTAGTAATACTCGCGAGCTGATAATTATGCGTTACCGTTTTCTTGAGAATTTCGATTTCGTTGTTCGTTTCGAATCGAGCAAGAGAGAGAGAGAGAGAGAGAGAGAGAGAGAGAGAGAGAGAGAGAGAGAGAGAGATAAAAATCCTTAAAGATTTGCATAACGAACGTATCTGTTGGTTTTTTTTTTTCATTTTTTTTTTTTTTTGTTCTATCGCGATTAAAATTTATCAATCGTCAACCCTTCGCGCGTGCATTCTTGTTTACCTTTATTCTTCTCTTTATTCTCTTAAAGCGTGTATTTAAATAAAAGCTTAACGATTACAAATAAGATAATTTAATGTGAAATTATCCGTTAAATGTTAATAATGTTAAACACCAACGAGTCGACTCGACATCACAATGCACATATAATAAATTATCACTTTTTGTTTATAATGCTTATAAAGTGATGAGAGATAAAGCGTTTATTACAAAACAAATTTATTCGTAATGGAGGAACGAAGCTGGCTCCGTTAGCAATATACGCGCATCCCGACTAATTTGGACATTGATATGCTTGTATTTTTTAACGATAGCGCGATTCGAGAGAAGCTGCACGACAGTTGACCGTGAAAATGTCTGTTTAGATAACTTGGTTGCCAATTGTCATCTACGTGCCGGCGCTCGCCTTCAATCAAGGTATACACTACCAATGTTGACTACACTACATTGTTGATCTCTCGTGACTCATGTGGCTATATTCTTTCGTTAATGTCCTATTATAATTATTATATTAATGCTGATGAATGCCTGCTGCACACTTTTATAGTGGTTTTATGGTATCGGTGCATGCGCGAAACATAATCTTAGTGGATACGAGTGGCTCTGGCGTGATCTGACGCATCGCTCTAAAGCCGCGGTAGAGTAATAGAAGACGCATTAACGATAATAATCTTAACTGTTTTAAGTTGCGAAACAACTTGAAGATTATTGAAATTAACAGAGTTGAGAAAGATAGTGCACAAATATATCGCTATGCTGATTTTTAATTGCTAAAAAGGACTTGGAGACTGTAATATCTACCATTTCATCGAAATCGCGCGTATCATGCATTTCTCGGTTATTCAATACATTAATGAGCTTTATCTTATTTATTTGTCCATAGCTCTTAACGAATAAATGAATGTCGGAAAAATTAGAATTAATTTTATCGATGATGACGACGCTACTCTATCGCATCATTTTATGTCGACAGTTATTAAATTGCCGCTCTTGTTTTTTAGTTACCGGAGTAAACATCCATGTGGTTACGCCATTCGTCTGCATCGTATGCATTTTCTACACGTGTATGGTGCGTAAAGTGCATTTAAAACAAATTTTTTTTTTTTTTTACCTAACATAACTCTACACCTGCTCACCCGCGAGTACTACATTAATAACCGGCATCGTTTATACATTCATTTTTTATAACTGCAAACATCTCTATAGCTCCATCGCAAGAAAATCAAAATTGATTTTCGTCTTAAAGAGAATGGACGTTGACGAATCTTTCGAAAATTTGTGCCGAAATAAGGCCTCGGAAAGAAGCCAAATGTGAAAACGAGACATCTATCATACTTGCATCCCGCGCACTCGATGTAATTACCGATTGCAATATTAATCGGCTACGCCTGCTTTTTCATAAATTACTTTCATTCGCAAAAACATACGACCAATTCTTTTCTTATACAGAGGAGTGTTCGCCTCTCTTCATCCCCCCCCCCCACTAACTCCCATCCCTTCCCATACCCTCCCCTCCTCTCACGCTCCCCTCTTACTCCTATATTACGGCGATATGGGGGCAAAGTAATCGGCCTATAATCGAGGTAACGTTCGCAGGGCGGACTGCGCGCAGTGGTATGGACGGATTTCGTTCAGACCTTCATAATGTTTGGCGCGATGCTGCTAATCGTTGTGAAAGGCACGGCGGACCTCGGCGGCCTCTCCGTCGTCATCCGGCGGAACCTCGACTCGGGTCGCCTCGAGATACCCACGTGAGTCCACTTGACATCCTAACCCCAAGTCGGGGCGTTTTCAAAGCACTACAATGACTGTTCGCACGGATCAGGGCCGATTGGAGCCCACTGACTCGACACACCATCTGGTCCCTCGTCCTCGGCGGCTGCGTCCACTGGCTCCAGATCGCGGCCATCAATCAGAATATGATTCAACGGTATCTGTCTCTGCCAACAGTCGCCCACGCCAAGAGGTAAGAAGCGCACGGCACTCCAGCGTTACTGAGCTTAATTCATAAGACTTGGATCGAGTGACAAGCAGAGTATTCCGAGTTTATTTCACGGCTTTAAACGAATTCTTTTCTTTTCTTGTTCTTTTTTTTCTTTTTTTTTTCTTTTTTTTTTCTCTTTTTTTTTCTTTTTTTTTTCTTTTTTTTTCAAGCCCTACAGAAATGACAACTTATCGTCTCTTTAATCAACACATTACAATGAGAACGTAACTTTTTATATAATAAGCGCGTTTAATGTCGCTTTAAAAGTTCAATAACCGTAGCAAAAATTATTATTATCATTGCCATAATTTTCAGATACGAGCTAATATTATTAAATGTATTTTATACGATATTTTACCTTAATTTTTTTTTTTTTTTTTTTTTTTTTTGTTTTTTTTTTCAATGATAGCACGACGAATTGAAAGAGTTTTTCTTTTATAAAGTCTCGCAGTGATACTTCATTATTACAAGGGTCAGATCTCGCGTTAATAGTAATAAAGTAGCACGAAGAAAAAAGGAAGAAAAGGCGGTGTAATGTTTAGTCGAAAAGAAGAGAAAAACAAAGTATTTTTAATAAAAATAATAAAAATTTCATGCAATTCGATCATTTCATATTGTCTCGTGGCATCTAATATATAAATCGAGTCAATATGCAAATGAATGAATTTTTTTTTCTTTTCTTTTTTCTTTTAAGTCGAATCGTTGCTATTCTCACGAGCATTTACAATGTGTTATTAATAATTTCCTCGCATTACGTAAATTTAGAGCTTTATGGTCTTTCATCATCGGTGTTTTAATTCTGATCGGTATTTGTGGATACGCGGGTATGCTGGTATACGCTTGGTATCACGAATGTGATCCTTTGACAACCAAAGTACGTATACATATCCTAGAATTGATTTGCAAATGAAAAGCGCCTGTCGAGCCTTATCTGCTTTTAGCTTGCTAGAGCTAAGGACCAACTATTGCCCCTATTAATGATGAACATTCTCGGGGACGTACCTGGAATGCCAGGATTATTTGTAGCCGGTGTATTTAGCGCAGCTTTGAGGTAAGCCACAATCTTAGAGTAATCGCTTTAACTTAAGGTCCTACGTCATCTCTACTAGTAGTTATTTACAACGTTCAGATCTGCCATTATTATTATTATTATTATTATTATTATTATTATTATTATTATTATTATTATTATTATTATTAAGGATATCGAGCACATGTTTATGAGCATAATATACTCTTGTCTCAATTTAATAAAAATTCGCATCCAATAAGTAATTAAATGCCGGCTCAGTTCCCTGTCAACTGGTTTGAATTCCATGGCGGCTGTCGTTTTGGAGGACTTTATTAAGTCCTTTCGCAAGACTCCCTTCAGCCCCAAGACCGTCGACATTCTCATGAAACTGACTGTGCTGATTCTGGGGGTCGCGTGCACCGGCCTCGTCTTCGTCGTCGAGAAGACGGGCTCGCACGTCCTGCAATTATCAATGAGCCTTGGCGCTATCACCAGCGGTCCCTCCCTCGGTATTTTCAGCATGGGAGTCCTCGTGCCCTGGATCAATGCCAATGTACGTATAATCTAGTTCTTATTTATAATCTAATTCGGATGGTGCTAGTCTGCCGCAGTGTCACGTGGTATAATAATATGGGCAACGACCCATAAATAGCAAATATACTTATGAATTAAAGAGCATCGTATAGTATTGTATTTATTTTTAAATTTAATTTTTTCATCGTAGTGCTCGATAGAAATGTGTTAAATATCGTATGGGCTCCCTATGCAATGGTTAATGAATATTCTCACCGATTGATTATCTCAATGAATAAATATCTCTAATGGCCAGTAGTAGACAAAAGTGGAACGCCTGGATGTTCGATGTTAAATTTTAAGGAACAATAGGAGCTAATGTTAGATAAATATATTAAAAGTGAAATTATAATGTTTAGGGTGCACTTATTGGAGGCCTTTCTGGTCTTGCATTCATGGGCTGGATTAGTTTATCCGCGGAAGCTGCGATTGCCAGTGGAAAAATTCGGTAAGATCACTACAACTCAATAATATAAGATTTCTCTATCCATAATAACATAAGTATAATGATAAAATATATATGCTGAAAACATTGTAATTAACAGACTTATACGATCACTGGAAACTCTCGATGAATATCGAAAGCGACCGCGAGCTATAAAATAATAATATTAATTACAAATCTCGAGGCAGATAACGAAGTCGACTACTTTTTAATAGCGTTTAATGAAATAACGAATAATGATAGATAAATTAAAAATATTTCAAGGCTGGAGTAGAATGTTATAGTTAACTAGTTAACGAATGAATTGTTTTAATTTTGTATATATAGTAAATATAATTAATGCTATTATTAATTTACAGTTCGTGAAATTGCAATAAAATCAGTTAGCGTGTAACAAATAAACAATTTTTTTTTTTCATACGTAGGCATGCGATCCGATCGATTATCAAAAGCTCAAAAATTGTTTTAAAATATATTCTAAAAGATACATAAAAAAAAATTTATTATTCAACAATCCTCACTGAAATTCATGCAATTTTTTAATTATTTTAACGAACGATGGTATTATTTTGTTTAATTTGAAGAATCGATCGATCCTAAGAGCAATGAAAAGATCTCTATTCTTAGATAAATGTAATATATTTCGTGTAATTAATAATTCTTTCTTTCTTGATGATTTGTAATTGAAATATAGTGTTTATGATATAATTTGTCTTTATATATATATATATATATATATATATATATATTAATTTACAAGACCTTGGTTAATTACGGTTAATTATAGATTAGAGCCTCTTGCCTGAAAAACTCGAACGTTTTGAAATTCGATACAATTTAGAATTTTACATAGGGCTTAAAATAAATATTATCTTATTAATACATAATTGTTAATACATAATAAATAAAAATTGTTTCATTGGCCACCCACCCTTGTCGATTTATTTTACTTTTTATAAACGTAGGCCACCATATATATTAAAACAAGAACAGTTGCAAAGAATTTAACTATGAATCATAACTAAAGATTGTACTCATTTCAGTCTATTAAGCCGAATCTCGTCTATTAACCAATGCATAAATTTTATTTTGTAAACAATGGTAGATTTGATGAGAAACCAGTGAGTACCGAGGGTTGCACATACTCGTTTCAAAAGTCCGAGAATTTACTTCTTATGCTGCCTCCAGAGACACTTTTGAACGATCCAGTCGAAGGGTACGATGGATTTCATTACACATACAATTTAACAGTAGTTGGATTGCTTTTATCTTTTATCATGATTGTGGGCTCTTTATTGTAAAAAGTAAGTTTACAAGAATAATGAGATATTGGTGGCGCTCAGTTTTTACACCGTCAATGCATAAACTCGCTATTATTTGTTAATCGGCTATGGAAAATGACACTGGCGAACCAGTTCGTATACTGTTTAATGTATTTAACAGTATAATGTTTTGCCGACAGCGAGCCAATGGTGATTTATCGACTTAGTTACTTGTGGTACACGGTCGCGGGTACCCTAGTGACGATGTGCGTTGGCCTCCTCGTCAGCTTCGTCTCCTCCGAGAACGTGGACAAACTGGACCCCGCGCTCATGGCACCTTTTATCCGCAAGTATCTTCGGCGTCAACGACCACCGCAGCAGCAGCAGCAGCAGCAACTTCAGGTAAGCCACGACCGCTATGCTTTTTTAATCCGTGCAGTATTTATAGAAGGACACCATCTGCTTCAGGTAATGAGACTGGGCCCAGCTAAGACTGGGAGTGCGTCAACGATGGATAGAGGAGGACGGGAAAGTATCAGAGAGGTGCCGACGTTATGATGAATGTCGCTGCTCCGACTAGCACAGATGTGATCGATTAATGAGCTTTAAAATTTACTTTCTTTATATTTGATATGCTTTGATATGCGATCGAAGACGCGCGTTGAATAATTTGTAAATGTTTGAATCTTGTTTTGACGAATTCCCTTTTTTTTTTTTTTTTTTTTTTTTACATAAATATGAATGTTATATTGCAGAAAGAGAGAGAGAGAGAGAGAGAGAGAGAGAGAGAAGAGAGAAGAGAGGGGTTGTTTGATAAAATAAAATTCGGTAAACTAACAAAATGGTTTCTTTCGAAAAACAAATTAATTAAATTCGTATTTAATGTTGGTAAGGCACGATTACATGGTAAATATTAAAAATATGTACTTTTATATCTATTAAACAGTTTGGGTGCTTAACGAATATATGATATATTTTATCATTGTTGCTCATGTGTTATTATTATTAAAGTTTATAATTATCCTTTACGTAGTAAGTAAGCCACGTTTATATACAATTATTGTGGCAATGTGTTGTGTGTTTTTAAAAGAATATGGCCCTCTTTTCAATGTAATTATAAAATATGATTTTAAATATATACATTTTCCAAAGAATTTCCTCTACATCTGTCGTAACATTTTTTATCTCTTAATGCTGATTTCTTAAAAAATGGAGGACAATTCCCTTTCTTCTATACGAATTATTTTGCGAGCGTGTTTTATTTTCTACGGCATATTTAACATTTAAATATTGCTATTCAAAATAGATTTATTTTATACAACTTTTTTTTAAATATACGTTTTATATAGAAGTTCATAAATATTAATCTATAAAATATTATCATTCGGATATGGATTTCGCAAAAAAATATTTAATTTTCCTAATTCATACGTATGCTGACCGTTAAAGCCATTTGCAAAGTCATGTTGTTTTGTAAATAGCATATTTTAACTATTACTTTGACTAATAATAGATATTATAAAAATTAATACAATAACCGAAGCCGAATTCGCAATATTTACAACATATATTTATGATTATTATGACTGCAGATTATACATATTAAATTCATCATTGGCTAAACATTACTTTTATCGATTTATTTTAGTTTACAAATTTCTTAAAAATCACTTAACTACATTATTGCAAATGAAATTGAATAGAATGTATTTAAATTTGAATATAAATCAATTTGTTATGACTCATTAAATAGTAGTGGTTATAATACAAAATCTACGACGATAATTTTTATTATAAATTTTATATAAATTTGTACAATCGAGCAAGCATCTTTACAATATAGTTAAGATAATATACATTATTGATAATTCATGACGTAGCCATAGATAATAATAATATTATCTACATTTAAGAACAATTTTGAAATGGACTTTGTATCATACCAACTGTTACATCCGAAAGCTTAGAGTAAAGATAGAATATAATTGTGTCTGAGATCACTACACTAAATGATAAAAGAAAATAAAATAATTTTAATCCAAATATTTCATGCAAATTAGCCTGCGAATTATCAAGAACAAATATAATCTCAATTGTTTTAATATTATTATTGTGCGCTATAAAAATAATTAAAGATTCTTATTGCTCATATTATTATAACAAAATTGTAAACTATTGAAGTTATAATTATAATAAATAATCAAAATATAAATTCATAAGAGACACATTCACTTGAGTATAATAATAATAATAATAATAATAATAATAATAATAATAGTAATTGCAATAATCATAATAATAATAATAATAATAATAATTATAATAATGATAATAATAAAAATAATGTCAAATACTTTAATAACTACTATTAATTAGTTTAATTAAGAGAAGCAAACCTTTAAGATTCTGATGTAAAATACAAATGTGAATGAAGAAAATCTAGTTTGAAAATATCCAAAGAACTTGCCAATAATGCATTATTGATCGGAAAAACATGCTTATGGGAAGTCTGTTATGTCAGATAGCTGTTTTAAACATTGACTAACAATGCTAAATACCCTACTTCTCTCTTCAATGCTAATGAAGATGATAAAAAGTGTATTTATTTTGATTTTTATTAATTTTGGACAATGAAGTCATGCGATTTAAGTGACAATGAAGCAATACTTAACGATTTCAAATACATTATCTGGTCGAATTATTAAATTTGAGCTTACATTCATCATATACAATTAATTTAAAACAAATGTTCATTATTATCGATACATTTATTGCACATAATGAATTAATTCTGAAATATAATTGAGTGAGATATGCGATTGACATTGAGATAAACGTTATTCCACAGCATGAGAAATTATAAAGCAAAATACACGTTTTCTTTTTTCTTTGTTTTACAATGAGCATAAATGAATATGAAGTCTTATATGAAACAAGTTTTATATGAAATACAATCTTTTAAGAAATAGTAAAGATGATCGAGAAAACTTGTGGCATAGCATTATTGCTTTCCTAGCGAAATAAAACAAAAAAAAAACAAAAACTTGTTAATACTAAAGTCATGTAAGCAATAATGCAATACATATTTGAGGAAGAATTTCATATGGTTTAAAAAAAGTTTTTACTACGCGATGTATTTGACAATGGACGACAGAAAGATTAAATAAATAATATTAAAAATATACTTTTATAATTGAAAAAGATAGTCGTTGAAAAAAGATAAGCTACTTTGAAAACAGTGAGTGATCGATTTATGTTTTTGTGCTGGTTTTAAGGTTTACATAAACATCATACATTATTACATCAATTCCTATTGGTATTTCTATATAAAATATAGTTGCAAGTGTTTACTTATATAAATAAATAAAATATCGTTGTTTATATTTCAATATTATAAATTTTGTGAAAGACATGTGTCCGAGATACATGGATTATAATTGAAAAATAAATGAAATGAAAGACAGTCGGATTTCTATACCATCAGTTGATTGAACGAAGCACTTTAATGTTGTTAATACATGATAAACAACTACTTTTTTTTTTTTTTTTTTTTTTTTTTTTTACCATATATTACAATCTATTTAACAATATTATAAAGATGTCATGAATTTGCTTACAAACATATTGTTGGCTAATAATTACAATCTAATTAGACGATATTAAATAATATAAAATTACTCGTGTAATTTTAATAAATTCTTAGCATTGAGATTGGAGCTCAGAAAACGTTCATTCTATCATAAACTCGTAGCATAAATTATAATTAATTTCATAATAAATGCATGTGAATATGTTTAATCATTCATGAATTTCAATAATGACTACCTAACATTTTCGGCATATTGTTCAAGTTTCAGTAAACGCTCGATTATTTGCAGGAGCGAAATGGTACGCGTCACCGAACACTCGCATGATAAATAATTTTCACCAGCACGTAAAGGCTAAAAAGTTGCGTAATCTTGCGAATCCAGTAAAGCCTGTAATAAATTAAAGAAAAAAAATCATCTTTAATGCTTTTACATTAAATTTCTATCGGATTAGGTTATTTCTTCTTCTAATGCTATCGTAGCTTCAATTGCCTATAATTATTTATAAATTTGCTGGAGCACAGAATTTTCGTAGTCGTATTGATAAATATATCGTAACATATATAAAATAATACCCTACGTATTGTCATTTATAAGATAGATAAATAATAATAAAATCATTCAACGAACGAAATTTTTATCAGTTTCAGAAGCTTCGTTATTATTATGTGAAAAATAATAACAATAAATGTGATTGATATTTTATAAGTAAAATACTTATATTTGAAATAAATATATTTCATTATTATATTTTGTAATTAAATCAATTATAATCATAATTTTAAAATGACACGATGACGTAATTTAAGGATAATATCACATATGAACGGCAAATATTTCACTCAAGACATTGAAAATGTCGAAATATTGACATGAAAATTACGTAAGTAATTGAAAAATATATTTAAATGAAAATTAGATTGGATTTAAATTTGACATTAACATTATAAATTTTTAAAGATTTAAGCAAATACATATATTCTGAATCCTTTTCCTTTTTTTTTTTTTTTTTTTTTTTTGAATTCTAAATAGCGATAGTATTATAAAAAAAGTATTTTCTTATTTATTTCAAATAGTTTTTTATTGCTTTTATATAGAGATTCAAAATAATTTATGTAATATACTCGTAATTTTCAGAATATAACAATGTAACAATAAACTTCATTTATATCCGAACTTACTCATATCTTACACGAGAGCAATAATTTTTTATTGAGAATAATAACAATAGCCTATTATTATTTGCTTATTTTCATAAGAATCATTGTTATTTCTAGATATATTAATTTTAATTGTTTAAGAGCGTGAAATTTTTTTTTATTCGCCTTCACGTACGTTAACGAACTTTTAGATATTTGACGCGTCAATTCAAGTAATCGATAAACAAATTAAGAGAATAAATGTGAAAAGAATGAGAAAACATAAACGTAAATAGATAAATACTTACTTGTTGAGTTTACTTTTTGCTTTGCTTAATGAATCGGGAGTGTCTTTGAGAACGTATTTTCGAATTCCCAGTACGTATTGCTTTACATACGACTCCCAATCCAAATTTGTAATATCGATATTGTAACGCATAGTGCTCCCATCAACAACGGAGCTTTTTATGCATTTAACTAACTTCTTCATGTTCTCGGCGTGAAAGTACCACTCATTTACGGCGAAGAATTCCCCCGACTTGGCCATTCTCATCGTGCGCTTCGTTATATTAATCATTCTGTAAAATGGATTAATAATTTCTTTTTAACTACGTCTTTTTTTTTTTTTTTTTTTACAACACTTAAATGAAGCTGTCGTATGATAATAAATCGTTCGCATAATTGTGCATGCTTAAACTTTGTATTTTTATTTAAAATATTTTACTCCTGTTTACTTGAACGGACTTGAGAATCACAGTGTGTTGAGCTACCCGATATTTGCTGACATAAAGCGATGTCAGTGGATTTCACCATAAAGTGTACAACAAATCTGTGGTATCGATTAAGATTAAATTATTTACTAGCAGCTTCGACAAACTTTCACATTTCAATGTAAAATGCATCAAATATCGATCATTTTTATCGACCAGTTTTTCTATTTGAAAGTCAGAAATTTCACTAGCACCGACCAAACAAAGAGTACAACAAACAACTGATTAAAAGTATTTTCATATTATTTATGTGAAAGCATTCCATTTCTTTTCACGTCATTGTGTAAAAATTAAAAACTCAATGCGATGCATCTGGAGCTCACTTACTTTGGTTTACTACCTCGAAAACGCAGAATCAGGTCGATGACGAAGGCCGGCAAGAAGTGTAGAATCGCTATCGCGACCTTGTGAAATATTTGACTGGAGCGATAGGTAACATGAGGATACCACATGACGTATTTTGACGGCGACTCGATCGCGTACTTTCGCGTCAATTCCCCGATTTCTCCCCACCTATGAAATTCAAAAGTTTTATTTGCAATGTAGTGTGTGTGTGTGTGTGTGTGTGTGTGTGTGTGTGTGTGAGAGAGAGAGAGAGAGAGAGAGAGAGCGTGGGACTACTCATTCTAGCGGATGTTTGACGCTTACTTAATGGGATTGATGCTGCCGCTGGTGCAATTGTAGACTCGCAGAGCGCATGAATCGTTGGTGAACCGCTTAGGTTTGCTGGTGGTTACGTGCCAGGCGGTGCAGATAAGAGTATCGACGACGTAGTCAACCGGTACCACGTCGACGACGAAGCGTGGCTGGCAGACGATGCTTCTTATGGTACCCCTGCCGATCTCCATCAGCATACCTGATGAAAAAGTTGATGATTCGTCTATTCGCGCATCGCCGCTCGTTACATTAGCAAATAACGCGGTGTCTAGTGCACCGGTCTAGCCCACGTTTTTTTATCAACAGCGTGTCTCTCCTCGAAACGATCGATTACTGTTATTGGCCTAGGGAGCATATCGTCGTGATAAAAAACGCAAAACAAAAACAAAAAAATACAAAAAAAGAAACGCCGCCCTTATTACCGAAAGAAGCGACTCCTTTGACGACCGTCGAATTGTTTTGAGAAGGCGTTTTATCAATAGAACCTTAGCTCGTGGCTAGAGAAAGCACTTTCTTGACTAGGGAGGTCAGAACGATGACCAGAGTAGCCGCTTATTATCATTATCGTGATGGTTTCTTTGATTAAATTTACAGATCCCCCCCCCCCCCCCCCCCCCCTCTCCCACCCCCCTCCTGCTACTCATACCGCGCGTACATTCTTAAGGGACTACGGCTAACTTATACGTAGACCTTTCGCTAGTTTTTTTTCTTTCACTCGTTTATTTATTTATTTATTTTTTGTTGTTGTTGTTGTTGTTGCTTCGAAATTAACCGCGTCGCTGTCACGGTCGCGTTCAAGCAATAATGGCGAGTGCTGATTTGACAATCAGTCGAGTACAAGCGTCGCGTGCCACAAGACTCACCGGAGGATGACTATCGCCTTACTTCCAGCACACAAATACATTTACACTAAGTAGAGCGACTACGCTCGAGCGTAAATTTAATTCAGGAGGGGATTAATCGCAGGCGTGCTGTCTATAAATAAAAGTGTCACCTGTGATGCCGCTGACATTGTCGACCCACCCGGGGTATGGATCCTGAATGGCCGCGCACACAATGCTCGGCCGGACGATTGCCACGGCCGGCAAACCGACGCCTTTGGTGAGGATAACCTGCTCGGCCAGACTTTTGGTCAACGTGTACGTGTTGGGATGATTACCCATGAGCTTCTTCTCCAGCACCGCCATCGTCTCGTCGTCTAGGTTCTCGCACATGTTCATCACGGTTTGTGGCTTCACCTTCGTGCTACCGAATTCACAATGAACAACTCAACCCGTTAAATAATAATATACGGCAGATTCATAGCAAATAAAATGGCTTATCGGACAATTCGAACGCTTAGCGTAGTTTAATCGGCAATATTAGCCGTATCAGCGAGCCGGATGATTGGATTTTATTTATTGTGTAATTAACCGCTCCTTCGTTCGTTCGTTATTTAACTCGCTCACGTTATTTAAATACTTATATACCGTTAAGCGAATGACTTTTACGTTGATTCTAATCAACAGCACGATTAATATTATGAAATTGTTTATGGTTACGTTAAATTAGACTTTTTACGCGCGAAACTTTATATCTTCGATTTGAACATTCGTAATGCGAATGTTGACGTGTACAGAGAAATAGAGCAAGATTATATAGTAACGTATACAGTCTCAAGATATATTTCAAAATTATTTGTTGAATTACGAATAGAGAGGAAGATAGATAGATAGATAGATAGATAGATAAATAGAGAGAGAGAGAGAGAGAGAGAGAGAGAGAGAGAGAGAGAAAGAGAGAGAGAGAGAGAGAAAGAGTGAGAAAGAGAGCGAGAGTGAGAGATAATAAGGTGTTAGCCAACCTGTAGACCATCTCCTGGATGTCGCGGAGATCGGCATTGCTGTAGGCGGTGCTAACGTGTATGAGGCAGACGAGGTTGACCATCCCCTTGCAGAGGTCGACAACGCGATCGGTACCGCGGGTATTGAGATTGACGGCCGTCTTTATTGGCTCGTCGAAGCGCACCGTCGCTGCGCTATGAAAGACAATGTTCACCCGCTGCATCAACATCTGTCGGTCCTCGGAGCTGAGCCCAAGTTCCGGCTGGCTCACGTCGCCCTTAACCGGGAACAATTTACCCAGATCACCTGGACACTCACGACGTAATCTGTCGAATACCTGCAATACGCGTGGACGCCTTTGTAACGAGAGATCGACAGGATATCGAGTCCGAAGGCCTTCTTTATTTTACTGGTGAATGGTTGCGAAAATTGGACTTTGCATATCCATTGAATATCTAGGGGACTTTGGTTTTATTATTTGCATTATGGAATACGTATGTCGTTGGATGAAAGCAATAATCACAATATAACGTTAACAATAATTTATTCGAGCTTATAGAAAAGCTTTCCAAATTCTTAAACGATTTATCTTGATAAGTCCTTTACGCATTGTACTCCCACGTTTTTTTTTCTTTAACAAAGTATAAAATAATCATGCTGAGCATATGGAAATACAAAATGCAGTTATGTGGCGTTGAAAAAGCTTAAATAAATTTATTATAAAACCATGTTTTTCAATTCGATGAACTTGATAATTAAAAAATTCAATTATCTAACTCGCTTATCAGATACAATCGTGAAATAAGCATTTATTATTTAAACTAACCGATTGCCAGAATTTATAACAGTTTATTTTCACGATTTAATAATCATAGATACTTCATACGAATAGAAAATATATTTAAAATATTATCATTATTTAATTCCTTATCATCAATACGTTTCGTCCAATCGATCCTTTTATTTTTAGATTTCAAATTAGTCATGATTCTTGGCTTTTTTTTTTTCATTTTTTTTTTTTTTACATATTATCTTTTTCTTCAGTTTATAGTGGTTATTAAATTTAATGCGTGTGGTTGATTAAAAATATATATATTTTTTTTTCTTCAAGAAATGCAATTTTGAACGTTAATATTTCACAGTGCAAAATTTTTGAAAAATTAAAATTATGTACAAAGTATTTTTTCTCTGAATAAAACATATTTTATCTATGCATATCATATAATAGAATCTATATCGATTAAATTTATTGTAAAATTTTCAACAATTTATTTGAATATATTACTTTGTACTTTATTGAACGTAAACTTCCAAGCTTTAACAATGGGAAAGAATTTATAGAAAGTAATAAATATATTTTATTACAAAAAAAGTATATATTGACAATAATTAATAAATAATGATGAATTTCAATGGAGTGTTATAAGGTTTTTTTTTTTTTTTTTTTTTAGAAATACTATACTATTCAGTAATTAGAAATAATAAAAGTAATTTAGAAATACTATACAACTATAATTTATCTACATAATGTAGTATATTTATTATTCATTCTTATCATTATTATATCTAATATGTATATATATAACGAAATTTTATTAAACGTTTATTATATAAATAATCCATTACAATTATTTTACAGTATATTGAAATGTATTTAGTCGTATTATTAACGTATTGTTATTAAAAATTTAAATGTAGTTGTATAGTTATACGGATAGTTTTTGATCAGCCGTATAGAAAATTAGTAACATAAAATTTCTATTCTATTAATAAGAAAATTATCTCAAGGAAATGAATCCAATATTATTATTTTCTTATAAAGTTAGAATTATAATAATATGCGTGAACCACTGTATAACTCCATAGAAATTAATTTGATAAAAGTATTAATTATTTTATATTGCGCACATGAATATTTGCAATTAAATTTGTTGTTATTATTATTATTTTTTTTTTTATTTAGTAACAGATGAAACCATCTTTATCTAGAATAGTTATTTGAATAAATACTTAATTTTAAATATTCTCACTTAAATAATCATTATTATAACTTTATAAACATTCTTTTCTTTTATTAATTAAATTAAAAATTTTACTTGATAAAAATTATACGAATAAAATACATTGAGTCTTATTATTTTTTATTACGTATTATAATAAATGTATTACTACTAATAGTTTCTAATTCGTCGCTTATTCGTGTAGTAAAATAAAATAATAGCATGTACGCTTAAAAGTTGTTTAATTTTGTAAAGTAATTTTGTTTAAATATCCGAAATAATTTTCTTATCTATCGACATTTTCTTATAGCCATTATTTTGAGCAATTCTTGATAATGCAATAGAACGAATAAAGAATTCTGATTTAATTTAACATATATCTTCATGAGCCGAAAGTATTTTTTTTCTTCATAATATATATTATTTGTTTGATGAATGAAAAAAAAAAAAAAAAAAAAAAAACTATAGCGCGTAAATATCGTAAGAAGAAATAACGACAAGTTGGGGATAAGTCTGGGTAGTTTTTCGCGAAAGGTAAGTAGAAAATTGAAAAAAAAAACAACGTGTTTCGTGAAATTGAGGAGTGACGGGGTCAATTGGGACGAATACTTTCAAAATATTGTCATAATGTACATACGTGTACCTACTTCCTTTGCTAGGTTGCTCGATAGAATCGCCAGGTTACTGGTAAATACATTAAAACTAGTCGAGAGCGAAAGGCACTTTAGTCGGGAGAAAATTTAACGTTATTTCGATCTAAATTACGAATATGAGATTAGTTTAAAGTATTTGGTAAAAATATATCAATAATATATCATTGCATCGAACGATAATTGTTTAGTCTCGTTATTAATTATAAAGTACCTTTGCTTCTCTTTAGACGCGAGACTTGAATAATGATTGGAAATTTAGCTTTTATCTAACAAGCATAAATATCTAGTTGCAACTAAAATAGACAATGAGAGAATCTAACCGTCGATCTATAATCTATAATTTGCAATCCATCTAGCAGGTTGTCCGAATTTCAAATTTTGACGTTGCAACGATAATAAAACAGAGTAAGGCTTACGGGATTCTCGATCAGCTCGGTGAATCTTTGCTCTATCGTACGTCCCTTCTTCGGTCTAATGAGGATGAAAATGGCGCTGAGTCGTGGGCAGGATCTTAGCAGTTTCTCGAGAAGGGCCTTACCAAGGAAGCCGGTGGAGCCGGTTACAAAGACGATCGCCTCCGCGTAAAATGCCTCGATTACGGACGAGTCAGTCGGACTTTCTGGACCAGATTGCTGCTCCTGTGAATGCTCCTCTTCCTCATCGAGCTCGGACTGGGTCTTGCCTTCCTCACGGCGCTGGCTCCCCATTGTTTCGCATGTCTGCGTATTCGTCGTGCCCATGGCAGCGCTTCTTTCCCCCCTAGTCACGTAAACACAAGGCGATGGTACATTTAGTGCCCGATAATTCAATATTGGTAAGCTAATCGATCGATTAGCATTTGAGTACGATAGTTCCCTATACATTATCAAACCCGGCTAATATTTATAAAAAGTAATGCTTAAAATCTGTTTAACACTACTTAAACACTACTCCGATAGGAATTTTGTAGTAGTTTAAGATTTTTTTTATTTTGTCGAGGATATTCAGTGGCAATTGTAAACTTTTTGCATAATGAAGGGAGACAGTGGATATGCATTTCAATAGTAATACTATCGTTACAAACTTCTACGATTTAGAATTATTTACAAATAATTTGATTTTTCAAAAATTCCTTATGAAATTGTTGGCTTTCTAGGATCCGAATTAGCTTAATTTACAGTATTATGTTCGACGTCATTGTCCACTGGTTTCTATAAAACAAAAATTATCATTAAAATGAGAAAGTTTTATATATCTTAACGTAAAGCATAGCATTGCTTCTTGACGTAAACGTAATATTAAAAAAAATTCTCAATATTATTAGCTTCTCATTTCTACATAAAATACAAAAAAAAAAAAAAAAAAAAAAAAAAAAAAAAAAAAAAAATTAATCTTATCGTTAAACTCTATAATTAATGATATAAGCAAATTTTAAGAAAAGAACCGAAGCCCGGTATTGATAAAAATTGATTGTATATGAATTTATATCGATAACATGAATATCAATATCGATATCGTAAAGGCAATTTTTGTTAATTTTTATAATACGTAGAAAATTTTTAAATACATAATAATTAATTTGTTACCACCAGCGGTGAAAATTTTTAATTATATACGGAGAGGCATTTCGACTTATATCTATATTAGACTTATATCTGAGAATTATATCAGAAAATTAATATTCATTTATAATTTACAAAATTACAATTTAATTACAATAAAACATCATTTACAAAATTATTTTTATACTAACTTCTTATATAAAATATAAATAATTGCACGAGAAGTTAATGAAATTTTTTTTAATTTAAAAAAAAATATGATTATTAAAGTAGTTGTTGTACTTGTAAATTATAATGTTAAAATATAATAATAAAAATTAATATTATTGCCGAATTATTTATGTTAGTAGGTTCATTTTGTCTCATATCTATACTTTCTTATACTCTATCTAGTTCTTTTATAAAAATTTTCCTATACAGTGAAACTTCGAGAAAACTTACTTTCTTCACTTTACGAGCATTTGTATTGAATTCTATCGATTGTATTTGTTATTGTGTTGTACCTCAAGGCTAACAATCTAAACAATCAAGAATTTGTATTAAGATTGTTTTCAACATATGTAATTCTACTTCTCTACAAATAAAGCATTAAGTATATATTTGTTTAAAATCTGTTTAAATATTGTCCTGTCGTCATTTTTCCTTCCTTTTTATCCTCTCTTTGCATCATAATTAAGCCTGTAAGATTATCCATGCATGCTGATTATTTCGAGTATATGACGTATTTGGGATGTCGATGTGTGCAATGTTGTCAAACAAATAAGGACAAACATAGTTGGGAGTATTCAAGAGGACTCAAACAAGATACTATATATAATTGGATTTGTAGGTAAATGTTATGCATAAATCGAAAAAACGAATGCAAATTATTACCGAGAAACTATACATTTACACCGTACGAAGCATCTGCAGGAATTTCAAGGAATTTTATACAAATATATATATAGTTGTACGTTTAAGGATTAATGTTATATCGGTATTTTTCACAATATTATAAGGACTTATATATTTTGAAATATCGACTCTTAGATATAATAATCTGATATTTAAAATGAAATCAGTTTAAGAAAAAAATTAAGTACTTGATAAACTTTTTCCATATTAGGCTTATAATATAGAAAGTCAATTTTTCTTTGTACGTCAATCTTGATAACAGTTATTGCGTATAATTAGTAAAAATATATAAAATAATCTAGTAATAATATTGATATCAATATAAATAAAATGCGAATATGATATATATGTTTAAACAATAGACGATCATTATCAAAATATATCGTAGTAAATAAACATGTAGGTTATTTGTTATATTTAAACATAATTGAAGTGCACCAATAGTACATTTCATGGGATCCAAAAAAAAAAAAATAAATAAAAAAATAAATAAATAATAATAATAATAATACGCGTTAGGCATTTAAAATTTATTACATCTATGTTTTATAAAACAGTTACAAAGATTTAAAAATAAACTGTTAAAGAATTTATTTCTCACTCATTCGCTCTCTCTCTCTCTCTCTCTCTCTCTCTCACTCTCACTCCCTCTATTTTTTTTTTTTTTTTTTTTTTTATAGATTTAATGTTGTATATATAATAATAAAAAACGAGCTTTTAGCCTACTAAAAAGTTCTCCCCTCTATTCACTTTACTTTCTTCTCCTTTACTTTAAATTATGTACATCAATTTGTTCTACATATCTCATAAAATTTTTATTTTCTTTCACTAAAATAGAATATTTCTCAATTTACAAAATCAGAAATTTTTGTTTTTTAGTTAATTGAAATTTTTTTTATTCTTTATTATTGAAAATGAATTTATTATTGAAAATTTTGAGATTATCATGTTATTAAAAACTTGTTGGCAAAGAACATTTTTGATAAATTACTGCATATATCATTGTTGTATGTATAAGGTAAATTAAAAATTATCATTACTTTTATTTTTAAGGATTCGTTGTTGTAGTCATGATAATTAAATTAAGTGACTAGTATTTATTTTTTATTTTTATTAAAAAATTATATTATCTGAATTATATTAAGGTTTCAGATGTGAAATAAGGAAACGATTGTAGACAACATTTTCGTTGTACTTTTATTTTTTATTTTTATAAGATTTTTTAATAAAATTATAATTAATAAGTGAATAACGGATAATATTGCTTCGTGATATACGAGTAGATTATAAAATAATTCGAGAATCAAACTGAAAATATATGTAGGCACTGGAGAGAATGTGAGAAGAAGGAGAAATCTGCAACAACTTACGTTTTAGTTAATCGTAGTTTTATTGTAGCGTTTGTCATGCAAGTAATTATATTTGAATATGTACAGGTTATATTATACATATAATTTTATGAATTTTGTACATTTTTTTTTCTTCAAATACATTTCTTCATTCTTAATTAAAATTTATGTAAATATTCAGCTAATGCGTACCGTGATTGGATGAATTTCATTTTTTATATTTCTCTTACTAAATTTCTGTGCTAAACACTGTAAGTATTTTTGCCATAACTTCAAACATGGTAATTAACGAACATGATTTTATTGCGAGGAAAAATTATGTTAATTTTGTTGTTGTGTAAGTTTTACATATTAATATTGTATTTTTAATTATATGCCAAGTTTCATTTACAAAAATTGACTAATAAATTAACCAATAAAGAGACTTATAGTTGTGAGATTTACTTGATGCATTACTAAAATATAATATTAACAAACATTCTTGAAATATACTAAACAAAGTAATATAAAAATAATCAATCGACAAATAAGTAATGTATGATAATAGATACAATGTTATTGAATTATCATTGAAATAGGAAAATTACCTATATATATATATATATATATATATATATATATATATATATATATACATATACATATTTACGAATACACGGCATTGTTAATTTGTAAAAATACAAGCACAATGCTTGATGATATTTTGAGCGTCGCAGTTAATTATTTAGAATTTTATTGTTTACGTGTCAATAATTCAATTATAAATTGCAGTAAGTAAAAAGTATGTCCTGAAAAGAAGTATCGAGAGCAGTAGGCAGGTCTGGCTAAAGTCTGGCGAAAGTCATACAGGAGTTAAGCGCCATACACATTATGCCATACTTAATAAGTCAGAATATTACGAGACTTTCGCCAGATTTAATAAGCCATATTTATCCAAAACTTTCGCTAAACTTAATAAGTTAGATCTGATGTGCATCTATCACATTATATTTTTCCACGAAATTCTGTAACGAAATTATCGACATTATTTGGTCGTAGTTCGTATATTTTACATGATATCATATACTAAATAAATATTTAATTAAATAATTGACATTGACATTTGATAGATAGAGTGTTAAATTGTTCATTATTTTAATCATTATATGACAAGTTTTATATTTAATTTATTATCATTTTATGAATGCGATATCATAATAGAAGATAATCTATGTCTTACTATTATTTTGTCGTTTCTTTAATTTTATATAAAATACTTTTCATCTAATCGTTAATAGAGACTTGTCACATTCGACATAATAAGAAATTATGATTTATTTCAGTGCGCTTTAATGTCTAATAATTTTTTAACATTTTACTTAGATATATGCAAAGCTTCTGTTTGTATTAATTAGAATTTTATTAATCTAGGAATATGACGTTTATCAATTCAGCTAATACGAATCCTTAATATGCACGCATACACACACACACACACACACACACACACAAAGGCGCGCGCGCGCATCATTAAGATACGCAAACGTGATTTTTAAAACGATATCAAATATAAAAAAAGAGGAAAAGACATATATATATATATATTTATATGTAAAACATGAATGGCTTATCGAATATTGTAAAATATTAAATGTTTTTATTTAAACGTTACAAAGTTATTATTTCTATTTTATTTCGAAATTAATTTAACATTTTTAATATTCAAATTTAATTATTTTAGACATAAAACCATAAAGTTCAATCAATCACAGTAGACGAAAAGTATATATAGTCGTATTATTAAATAAAATAATTTTTATCATATATACTTTCTGCAATTATATTAAATAATAATATTTAATTAACCGAAAAAAATCTCATACAAGTTTCATAATTTCGAAAATGAATTTTTAATTATTTGCTAGAATTTACTAATATGAATTACTGAGAATATTAAAACAACGACGTCCTTTTACTTTAAAATTGCAGCTTCTTCAT